GGAAGATTGAAAATAAGCCTCGCGATAAATCATGATTAAAAAGGAACTTGACTCCTCGACCCTAACCCTCTCGGACTCTCTTCCACAAAGAAGGGGGAATACAGACGATTATGAGAAAAAAATCGTTTGGAACTCCATCTGGACCGAGGGTTTTTGCTTTCTGTACGCACTGTATCGGAACCCCATTCATTCATCCAAAATAATAACTTGGTCACTCAATCCACGACTGTTTGTGGGACACTGCTTTGGGTAATTGGCTGCTGTGTTTCGCCCACAAAAAATACACAGTCGATTTACTTTGCAGTATATTCTGTGAAGGGCTTGGAGACGTCTCGAAGACGTGATAAGGCGCTATATCAAATGCAAGGATTATTATTATTAATGGCTCTTAGCTTATGGTAGAAACACCATTAAGCTTCAAAACACAGACCCCAAACCTTGGAGCCATCAATTGGTAACTTTTCCTCTTGAGGAGGGAGGGGAGAGAGATAGGGAGAAAGGAACGGAGGGAGGGAGGGAGGGAACAAGGAGGGAGGGAGGGAAAGGGAGAACCTCTGATGCCTATCACTAAGGGAAAAAATGAGTTTTNGCCGGCCGTAATCTTTATAGGCTGAAAAGGTAATTCAAATTGTCCCGAGATAAGTTCCTGCATTTTTTTGCCGTTTACCTTTCACTCTGAATCTAAGCATTTATTTGTTGGGACAACATTCCTGGAGTTTTATCATTAATTGTGATGTTTAAATAAGTATTTCCCCCACCCCCCCACCGAACGTTTTGCTATCACTATGGAGTGGCCTTGCTTTAAATGAATTGGTTTGCCTCAAGGTAACTGTTAAGAAGGTCAAGAGGTGGTTGGTTTGTGGGTTCAGGTCAACAGATGATGCTCAATATGCTCAGTCCTTGGAGCAAGGTGTGAGGTTAATAAACTTCTCATTCTCTTAGGCAAAAGGGCCAGATTAAACCTTGGTGCATTACAGTGGTGGATAATAATAATAATAATCCTTGCATTTGACACAGCACCTTATCACGTCTTCGAGACGTCTCAAAGCGCTTCACAGGATACACCGCAAAGTGAATTCACTGTATATTTTGTGGACGAAACACGGCAACCAATTGCGCACAGCAGCGTCTGTCCCACAAACAGTCCGGGATTGAGCGACCAAATCAATTATTATTATTTATTTTGCCACGCATGCAATATTGATGTTATCTGGAATTTACTTGCGCAAGAGCTGTCGGCTAAGATTAGCGGAAAAGTAAACCTTGGCCGCTGGGTAAGTTAAAGGAGAATGCGGTTTCAGGGTAAGTGTTTTCAGGGCTCGTCTTATTATTTTTGGTCGAAAAGTCAACTCGAAACTCTCGGGCTGTGCAGGCATGGATGGTGAAAGGAATTTAGTGGACATGCTTCCCCCTACTGCAGAGATACTGGAATGGCAGACCTCTAAAGTTTGACCAGGCTACAACTTGTTTTTAAGTCAATTCACTTTACAGTTTATTCTGTGAAGCGCTTTGGGACGTCCTCCCGACGTGAAAAGCGCCATATCAAACGCAAGGATTATTATTATTATTGTTATTATTTTATATAGCAGACATCACGTCAGGCAGTCGTGCATCAAGTGACCAAATTATTATTTTTTTAAAAAATGTATGTAATTTTTTTTAAGAGATTATTAATTACACCTAGAAAAGCGATCCACCAATTGACTAACAACCGGGTTCCTACTTAACTGCTGGTAAACAGAGGCGTGTGGAGTACGTAAGGAAACTTCTTGACATTTCCTTTTTGGGATGATCAAATTGTAGCACGTTCTTTATTTCCAAAGGGGATTGTGTGTAAACTATTCACAGATGTTATCATCTTCACCTTAAGAGAAACGTTAATGCTCAATGTCTTTTTTCATTAATTATTGTAATTAGCAAATGAAGCCTTCAATCTAATGAGTGAATCTCTGATCCATTCCTCCAGCAAAAATCGCAAACTTTTTCTGAGTTCACTGATCAAACCAAGTTTGAAAATGCTGCTTAAGGTTGTTTTCTGAAAAGATACAAAGTCCAGAGCCCACTCCTTCAGCCAGAGATCATTTAGCAGTATAACTCGCACAATTGTGGTGGTTTGTTATCTGCCGGGTTCAGTAACTGACTGTGAAAGTAAGTTAATGATGTCCTAAAGAATAATAGTGGTGGATATCGTTGTTCTTGCATTTAGAGATAAGGGACGGTGGGGATTTGCCGCTATCAGCTTCTTTATCCAGCCAAGTAACCTGCTCCCATAAACAAGGTAGGGTTGCGTAATTGCTGATTAGTGTTTAGAAATATTTCCATCACAAAATTTCATTTTCAATTGGTAATTCAGCAGCATTCTTTGGTACGATTTTGTCTCATTCGCTTCATGGGAACAGTGAGCTGCCATGTTGGCCTATGAATAATCACTATACTACTGAGTAAATCCTGTGAAGCGCTCCGAGATGTTTCAATGCTGTGATAAGGCGGGATATCAAATGCAAGTATTACTCTTCGATCGTATGTCCGTTGACTGTCTTGTGAGTGCTCAAGCTACAGGTGAAGCTATTAGTTTGCATTTTGCAACATCTGAGGCAAGCTTTCAACACAGAATATTATAAGCATTTCCTGGGGCACAGAAGTAGAACAAAAATCATTGGCAGCTTTTTGTGATACATCAGTGAAAATTGCAATCTTTATTTCCATTATTATTTGCCACACAAATACATGACTTTTATTTATCACTAATAAGACCTTAGATCCAGTTGTCCTCCAGTAAATGCATTGTGCATAGAAGCAACTGAGCTATTTATTTATTATAAATAAAATAAATGCTTTGACTTTTTTTTTTCTTTCCCCTGAAAAATATTCTTTCACCTGACTTACTTGAAGTCCCTCAAAACTGTCCAGTTCCCTTTTGAAGGCAGTGTTTGTGTTTCACATTGTAATTAAACAATACAGGTTGACGCTCAATAAAAAGCTTCCACAATGTAACCAAGGCTGGTGTGCGACGAAACCCTCCGCATTGTGCACTCTTACACAAAGGTGAACGATACGATTGTCTTCATTTCACTCACTGCGTCAAATCTAATGACTTTTAAGGCTGCTTAAATGCCACTAGTTACCCAGGTGGTATTGGCATGGATTTTGTTAGCCACTGAGGGGGGCAATTGGTTTGGAATGAACGCGACATACAGTACTTCTGATTATTTACAAGTTCAGAAGATGAGGTGCTTTTAAACTCGCTGCGGGGCAACAAGAACCACCACGTCAAACTGCATTTAAATGCGAGTTTTCATGTTTCGGGGCATTTACTGTAAAACAATAGTAAAAGCACTGAAATCTGATCACCATAGAGACCGTGTTCTTAACCAATGTCCAATACTCGTTTCAAAACAAAATTTCAGAATTTCTCACACGTTAACTTTGGCAGATAGACTGCAGTAAATTAAAAATGGCTAATATTTTTGGACAATTTCTTCCTTTCTCTCTCTCGCTGTCTCTCTCCCTCCCCTTCAATTTCTGGCCAAGACGATAAGTATGACTTTACACAATAATAATCAGTGACCACTAGGAGGGGCCTCGGAACAGGTTAAGCCACTGATTTTTTTTTCGCTGAACGCCTACAGCATAATTTCCTGCCCTCCTCGCCTGAAGTCGTTATTTGCAGTACGTTCAACAGCAATGCCTCTGATGCCTCATCTTACACCTGGGAGGACAGTAGGACAGCGGGTTTACTTGACTCTCAGTGGGGGAAGATGTGATAAATCTGCTCGATCAGTCAGTAAACACCGGACAATGGCCAAGGAATTGTAATCAGGCAAACAGGGACTCTGAGCAAATTATCCACCCAACGCTGCCTAATCAACACACCGCCATCCAACTGAGATGAAGCGAATGCAGACCAGGTTCTCTCACCTACACTGGCTCAACACAACACTGCAACTTAACATTTATTTAGCAGTAAAAACCGAAGTGGCTGGGAACGTTCAGCAGGTCCGGCAGCATCTACGGAGAGAGGAAAGTAAGTTAACGTTTCAGACTTTTCGTCAGAACTGACGTGAAACATTGACTCACTTTCCTCTCTCCATACAGATGCTGCCTGACCTGCTGAGTGTTCCCGGCCACTTCTGTTTTTTATTTCAGATTTCCAGCACCTGCAGTATTTTGGCCTTTAGTTAGCAATTGCAGGTTTAAAAACATCTTGAAGTGCTTTACTGGATGAGATTAACTTGTCTTTTGTTAGAGAAACATACCAACTCCAACCCAGGCCAAGTTGAACCTGGGGAACGCTTACGAATATACAAATCCGTCCAAAATGATCCCATTCATCATGCACATCGTTAGCAAATATACCACCCCTGTGACCAAAACGGGAGTAGAAATCCACAGTTTGAACCATTATAAATAATCCTTTTTTAAAACAAAGTATGTATTTTGGTGTGCAAGAGCTATACTGTATTTACGAAGGAGGCATCAAAGGCCTGGGTCACATTTTAACTGAAGTAGCAACAAGAGACGTTTATAAATCATGATACTTCAAAAACTTTAACACACGTGCAATGATGAGAGAGAGCGTCTGGCTACTTTGGAATTCCAGTTCAATTCAATAACAGCGGCCCTAACAATCTCAGGGATTGAGATCAGGTCAACAAATCGAGTCTGTTAACATGGACGATCCGAGTATAAAAGTGTCATTGTTTTTAATGATTTGAATTAAGGCATATTGCTCCTTCTAAATCATTCTATTTTTTTTCTATAACTGTTTTAAGTGCTACAGTATTTTGCTGGTGAAACAAACTCATTTTAAAAGCTGGTTTTAAAAAACGATCTGTGTTAGTGGGAGGTAGAGGTGAGCACTCCCATCACTTGGGGGGGGGGGGGGTAGGGGGTGGGGGGAGGGGGGTAGGGGGTGGGGGGCGTGTGGAAAAAGAACTGACTTATCGTATCACTAGAATATCCAGTGGCAGGGTCAAGCTGTGAAGTCAGGCGCCAGTGTATCACAAGGAAGACGTCGTTTTAATGAAGGAAAAAGAAAAAACGAGCAGCAAAAAAATAATTCTACATTCATCAGGAGGGAACAACTTTGCCAAGCAGTTGCTTCCCATCATAGAAATAAATTAGAAATCACCCTGTTAATACATCAGTCCTTAAAAATATCTTTATAACCAATAAAATCCTGATTTTAAAACACAAAAAAAAAAAAATCAGTAGTTAAGTGGTATCTTTTTAAAGCTAAGGTGATCAACAGTCATCGACTGGAGTGCAACACTTCTGAACAGAAGTCAACCCGATTCCTAAGCCACAGGCGACCACAACCTTTGTACGATCCCTTTGTACTCTCCTGCACAACAGCTCCTCAACGGGGAGACATATACAGGTTCACGACAACAATGGCAGAACTGCAACGCCATTGTGCATCACAGTATTCAGTTTTCCGTGCGTGGATTTTGTCACATTTTCTAAGTTGTTGACCCGAGGCCAGGGGCCACACCCAGACCTCAGGTGGTGATTAAAGTTCACAGGTAGGACATCCAGTGTTATCCCATTAGATTTTTGGCTTCTCGATGTAATCTGTCACTTTCAGTACTTAATATATTCCCTAGTGAGGGCATCATCAGAGGACACCCATACAATGAAAAAAACGGTATAAGTCTGCGCTCACTCAATGCGTCGTGATGCCTTAGAAACGAGTTGCTTTGCTGCAACTCAAGTCATTTTTGTTTTGACCAGTTTGCCTCTCCCCTCAGCCGAGTTCTTTTCTGGCCTTCAAGTGAGACGCCAGTGATACAAGGGAGTCGGTTTACAAATTAAGATAATAACCAGACTCATTTCACAGGATCTTAGCCTCCTCTCTGCCCACAGCACTCACTATTCTTTCAGAGCAAGTTTCCTTCTGCTCAGCAGAGAAAGTGTAATACTGGAGGTCTGTTTCTAGCCTACGTCTATCGGTCTCGCAGGTCTTTATCTAGGCTCTGGTTATAGAATTTCCTCTCTTTGTTTCTTTGTTTTTGGTGACACTTGGCCGTTGTGGATGGACCCGTTCTGCTTTCGCAGTAGTTTCCCTTTCTCTCGGTCTGGCCAGGTGAATATAGCTTCGTCGCTCTCGAGTTCGGAGTCTGAAATCATGAGGCTGGTGTGCTGTCCAGGAGTCTTTAACCTGCCGACTGCAGGAAAAGAAAACATTCAATAACAGCATTCCCCAAATCCGTAAGCTCCTGTGGAGAATGGTAGAGAGCAGAGAGCAAATTTGTTGCCATGACTAATACACAGCTCAGCTTTAGATTTTAATAGGTAAAAATTGGTATCGGATATTTTTTTTTTGGGGGGGCACTGTTTGTGGGACGCTGCTGTGCACAATTGGCTGCCGCTTTTGACTGACAAAATATACAGTTAATTCACTTTACAGTATATTCTGTGAAGCGCTTTGAGACGTCTTGAAGACGTGATAAGGCGTTGTATCAAATGCAAGGATCGTTATATTTATTATTAGCTGGGTTTCCCAAATTTCTCCAATTCAAGGAAAATTAATTGTCATTGTTAAACATTTTTTATCATTCTGAACTACAAAAATGGAGATGAGGTCTTGCGGGCAACAATTCCTGGTGCTCTATGTACGCTACCCGCAGCAAGTGACATCAGCAACAACAGGAGAACTAAGCCATGACTTCAGATTGTTCTCAACGTACCGGGCTTGGAACTCGACTTCAACTCCAGACTTTCGTGGTCATCCGTACCATCGAGGATTTTATACTTGCTCTTTCTCCTGGGTTTCCCTTTGCGCCTGGAACAAGAGACCTTCGTGATAAGGCACTGATTTGAACACTGCCGTTACTGGGTATATTTTTGATGGCTTTTGATTAACCTTAATTCCACGTTGAGAAGGAAAAGTTAATTTCAAATTGTCCCCAAGGTTATCTTTTTCTTACCTCTTACAGCAGCAGAGGGCCAGCCAGATCAGAATCCCAGTGGTGACCAGGATGACAAAGGCTGCGATTACAACATACAGCACACTCCATTCTACAGAAAAGAACCAGAAGAGCAACAATTTTAGGACTTAAATAAAAACAGAACTCACAGCAGGTCATCGACCTGAAATATCTGATCTGCTGAGTGTTCCCAGCGACTTCTGTTTTTAGTTCAGATTTTGAGCATCTACATTTACCTTTAGGTCTTACATACTCTCTCTTCCATTTTATATACAAATGTAATTTGTTGTTGTTGTTGTTGAAGCCTGGATGGTCTTTGACCATCCTTTAACCATCATTCCTTGACATGGGAGCAAACCCAGTTTCAGGAATGTCAGCTGATATATACAGCCCTTTCACAGAACATCTGGAACTACTGTGTCTATCATTTGGTTCGAACCAATATTTATTTCCCCGCCACAAGTGCCTAACACGGCACTTACCACAGTTGCTTTCGCCGTCTCCCAGCTGCACTCGAATGAAGTTTTCCATCCAGAATGGGTCACAGATGCAGCGTTTGTTGAAAGAATCGCAACGACCGTGTTCTGAGCAATTCAACTGACAGACTTTGATCAAGAAACAGCAGAATCGGAGGGTGGGGATGGGTGGATGGAGGGCGAGAGGGAGATGGAGCGGGTTAGCAACTGTTAGCTATAAAAACACATGCTTTTGAAATCTGAAAGCCCTTGTGAATTAAAGAATATAATAATCTATTGCTTTGTTTTTTTTAATAAGTGGCAAATGATTCTCTGAAGAACAACCCAATAAGATTTATTTTTTTTGCCCGGCTCGGAATCTAGCATTCCCTCCCACCTCTGGGTCAGAGAGTTGCGGGAAGGTCAGAGAACAGGAAATAATCAGACGCCTCGTTCCGAATTACCCGACAAACTATTTCACTTTGTGAGGATTCCAAAAGCGTCAGGAAATGCAGTCAAGCTTTCCACTAACAAAACCCTCCCTCAAAATCTTCCTTTCGATCAAAGTATTTGGGTATTTTATAACAAGTGTTGCGCTGAATACCTTACAACAAACTTAACTAGGAAGAAACTGTAGCCCATGAAAAAAAGGAAAGATTCAATCCCGACTTACTGACTGTGTCAACTTGCAGCGCCCGGAAAATCAGGAAGTCCGATTTCTGCTTCCGAAATTTATTCTTCAGTATCCGAGCTACATCTTGCCCCTTCATCACATGCTGTGATTGTCCGTTCTTCACACAAATGATGATCTGCGTGCTGCGACAAAAGGGACATAGGTGGGTTTTACTGCTATTGTGACTCACAATGGACAGGTGTTTTACACTCGTACTCAAGACTGTGCTGCCTGCCATCAAAACTAGGGCAGAGAGTTTGCTCGTTAAGAGATCAGAATTATTTTCACGATTAAACAAACGATTTGAGTAGGAATAGAATAAAGAGCAAGAGGGGAGGAAGGTGGAGAGAGAGCGAGCGAGAGACAGCAAAAGAGAGAGAGAGGTGGGGGAGGAAGAGTAGTAAATCCATTCGAAGCTCGACTTTAATGTTTGCACAATGGAGTATTAGTCCAGGCCAACACTCCAGTGCATCACTATATTGTCATTCGGATGAGACTATCAACTGAGGTCCACAGCTTGCCTGTTCAGGTTAAAAGATCCCATTACATTAATCAAAAAAGAAAAGGGAGTTTCTCCCAGTGCCCTGACTGACAATACTCCGGATAACTGTACTTCAGGGCTGTTGCTGAGACTTCAACTAACTCAATGTAAATACAAATAACAATAATAATCCTTGCATTTGATATAACGCCTTATCACATCTTCGAGATGTCTCAAAGCGCTTCACAGAATATACTGTAAAGTGAATTGGCTCTATATCGATCTCTCCTTACCTCTGTTCAGTGTACGGCTGAATTCTGTGTACAATAATGTCTGAATCAAGAACTCCGAGCAGGACAGCAATCTGGCGGATTAGCATGCCTTTCTGTCGCTCGGTTAGTTGGCTGACGCTGATGTCCAGGATGATTTCCACCAGGTCATTCTTTCTGGGATCTGAAAACAAAAATCAGAGATCAAAAATTCTAATCTGCACACCAGCCCAGAAGCCTTGTGTGAAATGTTATTAATAAAGCTATAGTTTCCCAGAACTTCAACTCGTGGCAACTGATTACAAATCGATTCTTCTTTTTTGGTCAGCCGGGTGTCTGACACATGCGGAAATCCATCACCGTGCTTAAGAGGATCAGCAATCACACATTAAGAAAGTGTTTATTGATGTTGAGAGTTATTTTGATCGAAATGTAGAGTGGATAATGAGAATACCTTCAACTTCACACTGAAAGTGGGCTCGACCCACGATGCCCTATTGCAGCTGAAGACGGAGCTTCTACTCACCAGGCTTCACTTCCACAGTTGCTCTGTCCACATTGCTCTCTCCTTTTGCATCAGTGACCTTCAGATGGAATGTGTACGTTCCTTCAACCAAGTTGGACAGGAAGAGCACGGCCTGATGGTCAGAAGCATTCAGCACGTCCTGGAGACAAAGAAAAAAAAACACAAATACATTTTCATTCGACAAACTAATTTTCGAGGACAAAAGGACTTCACTTTGCCGAGAATTCAGTAATGAAGACAGGAGAGCTTAAAGCCCGTCCCTGAAGGGCTCTCTTCTCCAATCCCACCAAGTCTGCATTTACAAAATAGATTCAGTAAACGTACAGGAAAGGAAGACCTAATCTGTATTCAGTTTTCTTTCTTAGTATAAATACACAGATGTACATTTTAAAACCGTGAAGTTAAAAACTGTTTTAAGAAAGAAGAGTTTCGCCAAGTTCAAGGGAACTTAAGAGTTATAGCAATACGTTTATAACAACACTTTTCAGCGCGCTTGAGCTATTTTTGAATGGCAGAAAAATGACTAAATCAGTAATAGAACTAGTCCAATATTCTTAACAACTCAATTGAACTGATCTCTCACCCCAGCCGCTGGGCTACTCTCATCTCTTATCCACAGGCAGCTGACAATCCCTTTGTCATCGCTTGACTTTGAGCCATCCAACATGGCTGTGTTGGTGGGTAGGGTGACCACCACATTCTTTGCAATCTTAGCAACAGGAGCCTTGTTGCTTTCTAGAAAACAGAAAGTACAAGGTTATATATTAGCAGAACCCTCCATAGTTACTTATAGCACGACAACTTGCATTTATATAGCTCCCTTCACGCAGGGCAGCTTAACAGTGGCGGAGCCTGAAGCCGAGCCGGGGGGAAGGGAAGAGTAAACAAGATGGAAGAGGAAGGCGTTCAGTTGTGATCTAAAAGAGGGAAAGGGGGGAGGGCGAGGCGGAGGGATTGGAGGCAAGAGAGTTCCAATTAGTATTAAAAAAAGGCAAATTCCTGAAATAAAAACAGACGTGGCTGGGAACACTCAGCAGGTCAGGCAGCATCTATGGAGGAAAGCGAATCAAATAAATGACCCTTTGTCAGAACTACTATAATTCCCCTAAGAACATGCTCACCCTCTCTTACGATGACGCTGACAGGATGATGACTCTGGAGGTTTCTGTCATCCTTTACGGTCAGGATAAACACGTACGATCCAACACGAAGCCCAGTCACTGTCGCGACAGCGCTGTCAGCGTTCTCAATCTTCGCACCATCTGGGCCGCTGACAAAGAGAAAAAAAAACACACACACAAAAACTTTTATGAAAACGCCTTCACATGGGGAAAAACGTCTCAAAATGTTTCACAGAGACAGGAACGGGGGAGAGAGAGATGGCTGAAGACGCAGCCAAAGATTAAAACACATTTTAAAAGCAAAGAGGGTGCAGTTCACTGGGCTATAGGGAGAGAGTTCCAGAGAGTTGGACAAAGTGTCTGAAAGCTCATTCACGATGCATAGCTTATACATGCACGTGTGTGCGAGTGTGTGTGCGTCCGCGCACGTGTGTATGTGTATTGTGTGTGCGCGTGCGTATGTGTGTGCGCGTGCGTTTTCGCCGTGTGTGTAGGGGATGAAGGGAAAGGACTTTTTTTAAAACCTTGCTTGTTCCCAAAGGTAAGAAACGATCTTCTGGTCGTCAGTGCTTTTGCCACCGTCGAGGGTGGTGCTGTCCACGGGGAGGGTCAGCTCTTTGTCAGGCCCCGCGTCTGCCACTGGAGGCTTGTTGTTTTCTGCAAAAGAAGTTGGTAGAATGTATTCTAACAACACCACCACCACCAACTGCAAAAAGCCGCCATCAAAAATTGGCTGCGAGCCAAATGGCAATGAGAAGCCAGGGCTACACCACACTGGGCTTGGGCGGTTACTCAGCCAAAAGGGGAAGCAATCAGCTCTCATCGCTCTGCCTCCACCCTCAATTCCAGAAGAACGACTTGGTCTGATAGCCTGCCCGCCAGACTCCAAATCCCAGGTGAGATCTAACTTTCTCTTTTTTTGGCTCCACGTCCGCTGGTGAATCGTGTTTAAGATAATAATATTAAAACAATAATCCTTGCATTTGATATAGAGTGTTATCACGTCTCAAAGTGCTTCACAGAATATATTGTAAAGCGAATTGACTATTTTGTGGGCAGACAAAATCGCCCAAGATCCTCGTCGAATGCCTCCTTGACCTTGCCCCCATCTCCCCCCCCGTGAACTCCTACAACCCCACTCCCCTTGCGCACTCCCCTCCGCCGCTCTGCCAAGCGATCTCAGCAACATTTCACGTCAGCGTTGACCTTAACCGCCTGGAAATTGGCCATTTTGTGACCGTGGGAAGCCGGCTGTTCAGCATGGAAGATTCGAGAGTCCATAATAGACGCTGTAACTGAGGCAGCAGCACAGTAACAGTGTTCACCCTGTACTTGCTTTAATAATCTTTACAAACACATACCTGGCTGTACTATAACCATGACCTCAGCAGTATCCTGTTGACCGGCTGAGTCCATGACTGTGAGCTGAAAGATGTAATCCCCCTCCTTCATGGTTGACAGTTGGAGCGACGATGTTCGTACACCCTGAACAACAAATGGGAAATAAAATACGTCAACTGCAGCTCACTGAACCACAGCTGTGTCTATAATGAACATTGTGCAACATCAGGAACAATCTCAATTATTTAGGATTTATTTGGCATTAGCTTCAGTCCAGGACAGTGATCAGAATGTTGTCCCTCTCCCACTTCAGAGCAGGACAGAACAATTAAAACTGACATCTATACACAGTAGACTCGCCTGACAGAACTGAATGTCCTGAATGTCTCTGGTCTTCTTTCCGACGTGAAGGGAACTATGCAAATATAATCTATTGTTGTCATTGTACTTTCAATTCACCTTTTCATCAACCAACGTCAGTCACTCTATGGTGTTTTGATGACTAGGATCCCCCCCCCCACCCCGCCAAAACATGGGTTCACTGGTATTTTTGTCTTAAAAACGGGTTCACCATCCATATCATCAACATTTCCCAACTGCTGTGTTGATTTGAGTTCACTCTTGAATATATTTTACAGTACTCTTACGATGCAGGTGTTGAAGGCACCGAGTGTATTTTCTGTACCTGCGTTTCGACCACCTTGTCCTTACTCTTTGGGCTAAGAGACCACTCGTAGCTAACGATGCCATGGTCATCTGTGCTCTGGTTACCATAAAGAGTGATGGAGTTCTTGGGTAGTGTGATGACCTGATTCGGACCAGCGTTGGCCACTGGTGGATAGTCCACAGCTTTATATACAGTGAGCGTAGCTGTGGTTGAGTTACTGGCACCGTCGGAATCCACAACCGTCAGACTGAGAGAGAAGAAAAGAGCGATTGAAAGAAAAATGGCCACATTTCTTCATGGCTAATAATTTAACCATCACAATACTTCTCCTGTGAGCCTGAAACACTATCACAAAATATTCTAAGATGATATTAATTGATACTTCACTAAAGAAACTACAATTAGCAGAAAAATATATTATCTAATGTAATAAATAAAGCATATGCATATCATTTACATTAGTCTGTGGCACTAACATGCTGTCCCACAAAATGGGAGGATGGAGAATTATACTTGTACAGAGCCTTACCTCTTTAAAAGTCTCAATGCACGTCATAGTAGTTATTGTTAAGTGCAGTGATTATATTTGTAGGCAAATGCTTTAACCAATTTGCACACAGCAATGTCTTACGAACAGCCAATGACCAATTTAACTGGAAGAGTGTTAATCGGGACTCTAGGAGAACCTCGTTTTCTCTTTTCAATACTGCACATTTCATCTCACTCGCCCACAAAAGTATTCAGTCAATCCACTTTACAGTATGTTCTGTGAAGGGCTTTGAGACATCTTGAAGACGTGATAAAGCGCTATATCAAATACAAGGATCGTCAACGAGCCACCGTCCAACCTGTGGCTCATGTGTTTAAATACCTGAACGTGTAATTGCCTGGGACCAGGTTGGTCAGTTTTAGAATCGGTGTGTTTGCAGACACCTTCTCCTCACGCAAGGGGCCTTTCACCTCCTCCCACTCGTAACGTATGATTTTATCATCATCTGTACTTTCTGTAAATAGAACTAGAATTTCAGTTGGGGGAGGGGGGGATGTTAAGCAGAGTTGTGTTGGCATATTTAGGGTTCGAATGACAATTCACTTTCGAAAAGTTGGATAAGACATATGCGGATTAAAAAGGAAAACTTTATCGATACATAGTACTGTTTATTGGGCTTCACTTGCGCCACGAAGGAATAGCAATGAAGCAGATTCTAACTAGTGAGCCTGGATAAGACGTAAGGAAACTGAACTCACGGCTCCCATCAATAAAAGTGGAGGTTGTCGGCAGTGAGATCTCTTGAAACTTTGGGGAGACAATGGCAACAGGCCACTTATTTACACGTGGGGCTGTAAAACAAACCAATGTTATATAAATGTGTAGCTAAAAAAAAATTCTCAAAGCAGTTCATTCATTAAAGCAACACTGGCAGCAATCAGAGATACAGAGAATTAACTGAATCAAGTTCAGGAGTTTGAGGCTGCTTTAATTGAGGTTTTTAAAACAATAAAGGGATTTGATAGGGTAGCCACAGAGAAACTATTTCCTCTGGTGGGGAATCCAGAACAAGGGGGCGTCTTCTTAAAGTTAGAGCTGGGCCATTTAGGAGTGAAACCAGGAGGCAATTTTTCACCCAAATGGTAGTGGAAATCTAAAACTCTCCCCCCATAAAGCTGTGGATACTGGATCCATTCACATTTTCAAGCCTGAGATGGATAGATATTTGTTAGGTCAGGGTATCAAAGGAAATGGGACAAAGGAGGGTAATTGGAGTTGAGGTACAGATCAGCCATGCTCAAGGGGCTAAATGGCCTCCTCCTGTTCCTATATTCCACAATGCAGCCCAAATCCTTGCTTGTTGCGACAGCTGTCGCCAAAGTGGCCTTTTGTTACCCTCTGTTACCAGGATATTCACCTACACTTCAGGGAAGCGAAAGAAAGACACCAGAACCTCATCCACCTTTCCTGCAACCTGTTCTAGGCTTTGATTACCCTCCGAGTAAAGAAATACAGCACATTTCAGCACATGTCTGTTATATAAAGTGCCCTTAGAACTCTAAACCCACGTCCTCTTGTTCTGCTGTCTCGGTGCACCCTACAGTACTGATCTGTGAGTTTACTTTTTCAATCTCATTTAAAATTCTATACACTTCTACGTGATCCTCACAGAGTTGTCCTCTCTCAAGACTGAAAAGTCTCAGCTTGTCTAATCTTTGAGGTCGTGATCCAAATCGCACTGTGGTCCTCTTACAACAATGCATGTATTTAACACCAAAACATTTCAAAGCAAAGAATTGCTGTTGAGTGTGATGACTGCAGCAATTTGCCAACAGCAATTAGTTTGTCAAGAGGATTGGTTGCTGGAACACCAGGAGAAACTCCCCTCCCTTGAATAGTGTCACAAGTTCTTGAATGTCACTTTGAACAGGTACATCTCATCTGATATTCTCCCACAATATTGTACTGGTATCATCCAGAACTATGAGCTCACGCCCGACTTGGGGCTTGAACCCACAACCTTCACACTCAAAGAGTCGGGTGCTACCAACTGACCCAAGCTGACACTTGTTACAATCAATAGTTCAGGGCAGAAGAATTTCAACACACAGAAGAACAATGTGCAAATTGGTTGCTATGTTCCCTACAAACTAGATAATCACTCAACAGTAAATCAAGTTTGGACTTTTAGACATTTCTACAACTTGATAAGGTGCGAGGATTATTGAAAATGCACACCAACCTAGTTTAACTGTCACGTTCACAGATCCTTCTCCATATGCATTGTCTCCTTTGACAATAAGTTTAAACGTGTAGAAACCAACTGAAAGCTGAAACATGGAAATATTTATTCAGAACAATGACAGGGTGTATCATCCAAACAGCGCATTTAGGGATAAAGTTACAGAATTTCACTTTTATGATCAAGTTACATTACAGAGTTGTGTTACAGTACAATGCTCGTTTTAAATTATGATATGCATTATGTACAACATGCTGTAAACATGATTACAATGGCTAACGTTCAATCTAAAAGTAAAAAAAGTTACGAATTGTCAGATCAAATATAATTTTTATTTGCTTTATCTTTAAAATCTTTAATACAAATTCTGCTGACGTTTATTCTCTCATTCTTTCTTCCGTCGACATTTTTCCACTGTTTAGCGAGCGATCATTTCAATTACGGAAATGGTCAACTTCTGAGTGGTTATAAGGTTGACCCGGTTGCCACTTCGGATCCCAAATTCGGTTGCGTTTCCCGATTATTGATTGAATCTTTTCATTAGCTATTAGCTTCCACCAAAGCCGGATTGCAGCAGGAACATTTGCATTCCGAAACACAGTACGTTCAGTGTGCATTTGCTTGGGGGCAATTAACATGCTTATTGGCTCAAATAAACCAATTCACATCCTGGTTGCTTCCTGGTTGACTGTTAAAGCATAGCTTTTTGCGCAAGACTTGATGATGTCACACTACATCAGCACTCCGCTTCCAACATGCAGGAGAGTACGTCAATAATAAGCCACCTGCAAACCATGGTTGGTTAGCAGACCGATAACTCTTTGTTTCATTTACCATTCCAGGCCAGCAACTGTACTTACAAAGTGGTGGCACAAATTAACTAACGTGCTGCTTATTTGCGGGCTATCCACAATGAGCATATAAATTATAAATTAAAACGCTGGACTCTCAGATTAGTGAGTATATCCTCTCTCATTACTACTGCCAAGTCATTGAAAACTGGATACAATGCAATGGAGAGCAAAGTGACTTAACAGACTGCCCTGGGCAGAATGAACACCATACCTCATCACATAGCAAGAATTCCAGTTGTTAGTCTACTCGCTTCTAATTCAATGTTTAGAATAAGGACAGGGTTGATAAACAGGGTTTAGATAAAACCAATTCTCCATTAATCTGAGGTGGTTGTTGCCTGAAATTCCTTCCTCTCCCCCCCCCCCCCACAAGAATGCCAGAGAATACATCAATGCAATTGTTATATCATTCTAAAACAAGGCATCCAGTGAAGGTAATTGATGATAAGATGTTTGCATACCTTAGAAAGTTTGAGAGTCTTGGAGTGTTTACCCTCCATCTCACCACTATAGTCTTGTAGGTGTGTGATAAGCTCCCATTCATATTCATAGCTTGTTCCTTCAAAACATGAAGATACTGAATGGATCAAAACCTCACAGCAAAAACATCCTGGTCTGTGGTGATAAGAGAGTTACTGAAAACCTGAGCAATATTTTTCACCATAAACTATAAATTGTTTTGCAGGAGAATGTCACGGTTCTGAACTGTACATAATCGGACATCATGTTACAAAACATTTAAGAGTAAATATTGTCAGTGCCTTGTTGTCCAGCGCCTTGGGATGCTTTCCCGAAGTGAGAGGCACTATATAAATGCAATTTATTATTGTTGTTGTATTATGACTTTAGCAACTCGTAAATTGCAGAAATGAATTACAGCTTCACAGTACACTTCTTCGAAAGAGAGGAACTAACTTGTTGGAGTTGAAGGAATTCATGAATTACTGAATTACTGCAACCACATTGGTACAGTTTTCAAACTGATTTATTTTTAGCATGAGCAGGTTTTGATTGAGTCAAGTCAATTCAATCAGGCCTGCAACTTACAACTTTTAATTAAACCTGCAACTTTTAAAATCAGTTACTGAGCAAACATATTGTTGACAGTTTGCAGTCTGCTCTGCCTTGTGTATTATAATTTACTGTACCTTATGTTTACCAGCAAAAACACTAAAAACACACATTACACATCGACAGATTCATTTGGATATAATGAGATGTGTCGCTCTGGAGTCTTCCCAGCTCATCACCAGACTTTTTATGTCATCATCTACTAAAGCATTAATGTATTGTGGTTTATTAAAACAATCACTTGCAGTTTTTCAACCAGACTTTAGCCCTCATGTCCAACACCTATTTTATCATGTAACTCAATAAACATGAGCAACATGATCCCTTAAACCTTGTGTTGTGGATGCACTGTGGTGTCCTTAAAATATAAACCTTAGGATTTAATTGAGTGGACATTTCGTGCCAGTAACACAGCAAAAGATAGCCACAGGGTATTTAGTCTTTTAAGAGTAGGAGTGTAAGATGGGACTCTTATCCAAATAGAGGCCGGCAGCCAAGACAAGAAATCTCTTTAAACTCGCTCTCACTCTGTATTCATTGGTCGAACAGGAACCTGATCTTGTCTCTTTACCTGCTGGCGCATTCTGTAACACGTAAGCATTCAGTTCGACCTCATCCTTTGGCAGAGTCACCTCCACATTGTCTCCAGCAGAAACAATCAGTTCCTTCATCTCTATCAGAGAACACAAGCAAAACCTTAACGCATGTGCTCCAGACATTTTTATACATCAACAGTACTGCTCCAATTGAGGTATCACATGTTCTTAGCCAACTTTCATACTGTGGACATATTTTCTATCGTCTTACATGACAAAAGTAGGATTTCTAGCAATTCACTTTGTTAAGCAAAGGAAGTTAGCTAATCACAACCAAACCATAAGCAATTTAGTAGCTAAACTCATTCACAAGCTTGTGATGAAAGACATTGTCCCTAATCTTGCCCATTTAACTAGTTCTTTTCATTACATCGTTCATAACAGTTTCCTGCTGCTTCCCTATCAAAGTAGTTTTACCTACGTCAGTGAGTTTAGGCTCCTTTAACTTTTCTGATGGAAAGGATGTTATTTGGTGGAGTGGTTGCAATCCCAGACCTTGCCTGTTAGTCCAGCAGTCTCTACACTGTGATTAACATATTGGGAGCATTGGCAGCAACTTCTGTATAAAGCTACAATGGTATTATCAAAATGTCTGAAAGGGAAATGGAAAAGAACAAATATCCTGCGTGGCACTAGTCTGAGCAAATACATTTTGAGACATAGTAATCCAGGACATGATAGGAGAAGAATGTAAAGGATAAAAAATCTTTACTTAATATGGTTTCATAAAAACTGGTTCTAGAACGGTGAGTATTATATCTCACACTGTGTGTGTGGGGGGGGGGGGGAGTGATCTATCAGAATTATTATATACAGTAGATTGTTAAAAGACGCATACTTGCATTATTCATTCAGTTTTTTATTATTCCTGGATACTCATCCCTATGTTCAAGTGCAACTAAAATGTTCATGACTTACCGCAGCTGTGTTATCGGGATTGGCACATAACTCACCTGGTTTCTTGGTTCCAATAGTGGTTGCCCTAGTTTTAGATTCAGTGGTTGTGATTGGCGCTACTACAGATGGTTTCTCTAGTCCTGGCTGTGTGTTCAGTGTTGGCATCGGAGCCGTGACAACTGGCACTGTTTCAGTGACACCGTCGCCGGTGTCATTCACTTGAGACAATTTTGCGTTGACGGGTAAATTGGGCAAAGTGGAAATCAAAGTAACAGCAGCAAAAGAGGCAAGGTTTGGCAAAGAACTTCCTTTGAGTACCTAAGCAAATGGAGAGAAGAAAAATGTGTTTCTATTGTAAATATATATATGACAGATAAGTATTATTATCACTGAAATAGTTTGAGAGATGATAAAAAGTGTCCATTACAACAACTTGCATTTATATAGCGCCACAAACGCTTATTGGCAGAGCTTGACGGCAAGCAGAAGAAAGGGGAGATGTTTGCTAACATTATCATTAATTCATTTTTCTCACCCACAAAATAGTCAATACTTTACAGTCTCAGTGACGTGGGAAGGCGCTATATCAAATGCAAGCATTATTATTACTTATTATTGTTTTAGAGTAACGGGATTTGGATTATTATTTAACTGGATGTATTATTTCAAACATGTATTCTAGAGTTACCTCTGGAGGTGATGTCTGAATCTCCCCTGGATTTCTCTCATCTACAGTGGGTGTAGTATGTTCAATTTTTCGCCTACTTGCAATAATGTTAGGATCCTTTAGGTTCTCCCTCGTGACCTGCAGGTTTCTCTGCCTCCGTCGTGGCTGCTTGGTGCTCTGATTTCCCCTCTCTCCGGCGAATAGATTTAATGTCTTATTGCCACCGCTCTGTTGCTCAGTCACTTTCAGGAGACCGGGTCCTTTATTAATTGGTGGCAATTCGGTGACATGATCGGATAGTGCAGCAGCTTTCCGTTTTGTCCTGGATAACACTTTGTTCTGGTCCGCTGGGAACGGACGGTCTGAAAACCGCCCTGTATTGACCCAGTTTCTATTTGTTTGCACCAGACGAGCAGAAGTCCTCGTCCCAGGAGCTTTGTCAAGAAAACGTCCGTTTGATATTTTGTCTGAAGTATCCCATGAATCGGTACAACCCGCAGGAAATTTATCTAGAATCACTACAACAGAGTCAGGTCTGCTCGTTTTCACAAGCTGAAATTTTCGTTGCCCTCTGCAGTCCAAAATGTAACACTTGCCCTCCAGCAACCAGGCCACGTTACATTCGCATCTCTGACAGCAGGCGCGTGTACAAAGCTCAACAGAACCACTTTCCTCCAAATATCGCTCGGCTAACTGACTTCCAAATCCGTGTCTCGGAAACGCACCGCTATAGGTGGTCACTCTCCCGCAGTTCTCTGTGTTTGCACCTACGGTAGAGAACACAGGTAGAAAAATATTAATAGCAAGGTTGTGAAAGGCTCCCCTTTTCTTCAATTTGGTGTCAGCCTGAGTCAGTTGGTAGCATGCTTGTCTCTCGGAGTCAGAAGGTTGTGTGTTCAAGCCACGCACTGAGACATTGAACTGGCACAATCTAGACCGACACACCAACTCAATGTTTGGGGTGCATTGTTGGAGCTGCTGGTTATTAAATCAAGGTCTCACTCCATCTGCTCCTTCAGGTTGACATTAATAATAATAATAATAAATTGGTCACTTCAATCCACGACTGCTTGTGGGACACTGCCTTGCGCAATTGGCTGCCGAGTTTCGCCCACAAAACATAATCAATTCACTGTTTGTGTGTTTCTGTACTTAGAAGAAATGTATCAGAGCGCGCTCGCCTGAAACAAAAACAACTTGCATTTATATAGTGCCCCTCATGCAGGGTAGCGTCTCAGCATCCACTGGGACAGTGCGAATAATAATAATCCTTGCCTTTGATATAGCGCCTTATCACATCTTCGAGACGTCTCAAAGCGCTTCACAGAATATACTGTCAAGTGAATTGACTTGTGTATTTTGTGGGTAAAGTGTAGATTCAATGCAAAACACCTACTCCACCTATAGTGAATGACCGTGTGGATATTTAGAAATGTACCTGCCTCCTAGACAGAAAGGACGGCAGAAGTTCCAAGAGAAACGTTGGTGTATAATTTAGATTGCAGAATTGTATAGCTATAACATATACACCGTGTATAATACAGAATATGCCCTTTTTTCTGCACAAATGTATATTAATAAAAAAAACTGTCCACACTAAGCGTGAAAGAAATCAGTGCCAAACTAGAAGGTGGATTACATGATGCAGGACAATGCCTACCATTATTTATTTTTTTATTTTATTTATTATTTATTACCAGAAAATGAATCGAGATTGGGCAAACTGGTTCCATAAAATAAGGCTTCCCATTCGCCCAGGCAACAATAACAAATTGCATTTATACACCGTCCCTCATGCAAGGATAGCATCCCAGAGCACTTGAGGCATGAACAACAGCTCATGCGTATGCTGATGAAATAAGATGCTGTATGGGAAGAAAGAATTACAAAATATAGGGAGGATTACCAGTGAAAGCTTTGATTTTCCAGTTGATAAAGAGTCTCGAAAAAAATCATGAAATTACTATCCTACATTGATGAAATGCCATTTAGTTTATCCAGACACTGAAATGTTAATTCCTTCATTTCCAGATCTGCTTTACGAAGCTAAAAATGTTACTAAAACACCATAAAAATAGCCATAAAAATAAACACCTTCTTGAACACTGAACACATGGCTGAAATGTAGGTCAGCATCTTAACGCATGAAAGAGTGAAACACTCACACAACTGAGTAATCCAGATAGATTATTTGGGGCTACATTAAACTGGAATCAGCTGCAGTTTTTTTTCATAGAAACTGCTCGGCTCTCAGTGTGTTTGTGGGGGAGGCAGGAATGCCATTGAATGCTCATTCAGCCACAAACAGCTACCAGCACTAAGAAGGATTTGTGTAAATTATATATTAAGTCCATAAGCGAGAGACCGCCTGCAGAGGTTGCATAAGTCACTGGGTCTCCATTGGGAAACATGAATGGTGAAGTGTTAATTAAAAGCATTCTATTGTGGGAAGAATACACAACATTGATTATTTTAGGAAAAATAATAATAATCCATGCGTTTAATGCAGCACCTTGTCACATCGATGAGACATCTCATAGCGCTTCACAGGATGTACTGTAAAGTTTGTATGCATTTTGTAGGTAAAACGTATTGCTTGAGTAGGAGATACAATGCCATCAGGAAAATCCCAACATCACTAGTTTATCGAGAATTTTACTCAGTTCATAAACATTTAGCAATATCAGCCGTAGCCAAAGTAACTAGAATCCTGCTTTCTTTCTCCTCAAATTCAAATCAAGCTACTTTTCTTTTATTACAATACAGTGTATGAAAACTCCCACACCTGTCAAATTTGAATCAGGCTTTGAAAGCCAACGCAAACAAATTTAACGTCAACCAAATTCTGCATACCTCACTGGATGAGGGGTTGTGATAAATCCCTGAGGCTGACAGCATAAGTGTTTGGAATGCAAACGTACTGCATCTTACTTGTGAAAACACAGGGTTTCGCTTATAATTTCCAGGTTTTGTTCCCCTTTCCAGAAAGTACTGTACCATTAGTAACATCTAAAAAGAATGCTGCAACATAATGGGGGGGGGGGGGGGGGTGTCACTGCACTGTTATTGTCTGACTGCAATGACTCACATACTTTGTAAAATTGGCTGATTTCCAACATAATCATTACCACAAATCTTCACCAAAATTTGCATCTAACTTTAGATTACATTTCACTTTGGTTTTCTTCCTCCTGGGCAAAGCTGTAAATGGTATTGATACACCAGATAGCAATCTATCTTACACGATGCAGAGAACTGGAAATAACCGGGTAATCTAGATACCATACAACAAAGTTTTTTTTAAAAAAAAACTATTTTGTTTGAAGGCAATAATGAACCCAGCTGCAATCAAGTTCTCTGTCTAAGATCCCGAGCCCTACATCGGATTCTACAGTTGTCCCATTTCCATGTTGGCTAAGGCTGAAATTATGGCTGCACGCTGCAATAAATGAAAATAAAGTTTCACTGAAAGAAACACGTCCCCATCTTGCCTAGTCGGCGATGCCCCATTGTTTTCCCTCCTATATCAGAATGTGAAGTTTACTCCCAACACGCATCATTCTGTGGCAGAAAAATTAATTCAAACTTTTGTAGGAGTGAAGTAAGTGTTCGCAGTGAGAATCAGAAGAATATGTCCGGCAATTTACAAAGAATATGGTAGATTTATGTCTGACTTTCCTTTAAAAAGAAAACCACCTCAGATTACAATCTTATTTCAAATTTGAACCTGCCACATAAAGTGGCTGTTGCTCACCCTCTGAAAAATCCCTCACTAATGCTCAACATACTGCGTTGTTCCAATGACCTCATGTTTAGTCGTCTGATTTTTAATACGATGCAAACATTTTAATGCCACGTTGAAATGGTCAATAAACATCAGCCTAGTCAAACTAAATCAGTGTAACGTGCCTCCCAGTATAGTCAGCTCAGTAAATCACCTCGGGGAGTAGGATGACCTGGATTGATTCCAGTACCCAGTGCTTTGGATATGAACTAGCATCATAGGCTGCTCACGCAATGTCAAACTTTATGCTAAAAGAATCATATACATTCATAGCACAGCATCGCAAGACAATTCTGAAAGAATGTTCCTGTGTATTTTTTTTCCTGAGTTAACACAGTTCTGGCTCAGTCTATAGTAAACAGACCAAACAGATTACAGTAAAGCTGTCGGCAGTGGCTACAATCCAAACTTCCGGCAATTTGTGGCTGACGCTTTATCTTTTATGTCAGCCTGGCTCAGTTAGTAGCACTCTCGCTTCTAATTCAGAAGGTTGTGGGTTCAAGCCCCACATCGGGACTTGGAACCCAATTTGTCTATGCTGACACTCCAATGCAGTGCCTGGAGTGTGCTGCATTGTTGGATGCACAGTCAATCGGATGAAACTTTCAACCAAGATCCATCTGTCTGTTCTGGTGGATGCTAAAGATCCGTTATTCAAAAAGAGAAGGCCATTTCTCTCTCCCGGTGTCCTGGCCAACAATCCCCCAAATAAAAATATAAATAGCTGCGTGCAAATTACTGTTGTTCGTCTTATAATAATAAGAAAAAGTGATCCTCAGTAGTTAAAACCAGCTTCTAATTTGATTGCTATTACTGGAGATCAGTTAGTTCCTCTTAAAATAAAAGATCAAAACGCTTTTCCTGACATTGTAAAAAGACCTGAAGTTTTAAAGGCATATCTGAGCTTGCTTGTGGGCACTGCAAGCATGTAGCTAAAGGAAGTACAGCAATCTAAGAAAGATAGTTTAATTTCCTGATTTAGATATGCTGTGCAACAGCTGTCTTCTCATCCCTCCGATATCACAGTATTCTCAAAGCACGGCTTCTTACTGTTAAAGTTAAAGCTCTCACCCATTTCAAAGATTTCTGTTAAGACATTTGGCAGTTTAGTTAACCAATTCTCATGTGCAATGCCTAGATCAGAATTTTGGCAGGTATTTGACTGTATCAGAAAGATTAGTTAATACTGATCAGATCAGATTTTACTTACTTGTAAATGGAGTCAACATAGTCAGACAGAAGCAGATGCAGAACAAGTGCTTTAGCTTTCCAAAGTAGGTCCACTTAACCAGGACTCCAATTCTAATGGAGGGCTTCAGAGGAACAAGGATATGTTCCAGCCTCCAGTCCATGGCCATCACGTCACTGACAGAAACAAGAACCTGTGAAAGAGGGAAAGATTCATCGACAATTAATTCATTCTCGTAGACTGGAAAAATACAAAAGTGACCTGGTTCATTCTCATTGCAAATAATAATAATTCTTTCATTTGATATAGCGCCTTATCACGTCGTCACAACATATCAAAGCGCTTCACAGGATATGCTGTAAAGTAGAATGACTGTATTTTGTGGGCAAAATGAGCCACCGACTGTGCCACAGCAGCGTCCCACAAACAGCCATGGAGTGAGTGACTAGTTTTTTTGGGGGATTTGTTGGCCAGGATACCTGGAGAATCTCCCTTCTCATGCCAAAGAGTGCCATGGGATCTTTAGTGTCCACCTGAACAGGCAGACAAAATCTCAGTTTATATAACTCATCTGAAGGATGGCACCTTCAACAATGCAACATACCACCAGTGCTTCACTGGACTGGCAGCTTAGACTTTTATGATTTTCCGGTCCCAATGTGTGACTTGAATCCACAACCTTTTGACTCAGAGGTGAGAGTGCTACTACTGCACCAGGCTGACACTGACTATTATCCTCCAGTAGATATAGAATCAGTTTATTGGTTGGGAGGGAGAAAGATCACAGGGATATGGTCCCTCAAATCATTTGTAAGCAGGAACATTACAAGCGTTTATATCATCTGGGTCTATTATGTAAATTGTGTAAACATTTCATTGATTAATTGCACAATTAAAGACAATTGTAATTCCCCAGTACAAACGTTTACAGAATTCCCACAATAGATCGCTGTGTCTCATTCCACGATAGGTGTCAGCCTGGCTCAGTTGGCAGCACTCTCAGCTGGAAGGTTGTGAAGCCACACATCGAGATATTGAGCTAGATAATCTAGACGTGGGAAGCACTGCATTGAAGGTGCTGTCCTTCGAGTGAGGCATCAAACTAAGGCCCTGTCTGTTCAGATAGATATTAAAAATTCCATGGCATTATTAAAACGAGAAGGGGAGTTTCTTCCACGTCTTGGCCAACAATCCTGTTTTTCACTTCATCAGTTGCTGTTTGTGAGACAATGCTGTGTGCAAACTGGCTGTCGTGTTTGTCTACAAATGTAATCGCTATACCTTTAGAGATTGCTTAATCCTTGATTTTAACATTAAAGCTGCATTAAGGACAGATCATTCAAAGCTGTATCGTGTCTCTACAGAACAATTTGTTTAGGCACAGCATGTTCAAAATAAATAAGCACAAGTAGAATAACTGCAAAGATCAGCAATAGTACCCTAACCTTAGAACACTTCAAGCCTATTCCGGCCACAAATGAAGGAGATTATCTCTGGAAAGAGATTGCTAAGTCGCCCTACAGGTCACCACTTCTATCCCCTATTATGTGACAACTCATGCATATCACTTAGAAATAATTATAGTTATTTGTATTAATTCACTCCTATCACAAACAATGTCCCTCTTTGCGAAGGTATGCTCTTCAATTTTATTTCAGTCTCTGAATTTAAGTAGCATAGTTCTGGAATTCAGCGAACTGATGTCAAGTGACAGATTCTTATCCTTGATGGCGTTGTCTCCTCAAGGGTAAGAAGCCAGTTTCCCTTTTGTATATCGCATGAGAGCCAGTACGCAGCTGGAAGCAGCTGTAACGAGGACAAATAGCTTGTGAACTTGATCCATACATTGCCCTGGGAGCACAGAAAGATTTGGGAGATATCGCTTTGAGGCTCAAGCAGACAAGTCACAGTCAGCTCAAACCACTGACAACCACAATTACAACCACCACCACTGATTCATCAAACAACCCTTCCTCCAGCACCTCCCCATCACCAGCGGATTGAATTAAAGATCTTCATCCTCGCGTTTAAAATCCCTTCATGGCCTTACCTCACACTATCAACTCCTGCCCAGGTTGCTCTCTCCACTCAGTGAGCTCGGCTTGTTTCACGTCCCTTGCTCAATCCACCCCATGATCAGCGGGCAAGCTTTCAGCCACTCTTCCCCTACTCTCGAGAACTCCATCCTCGAGTCCCTCTGCCCCTCCCACTCACTACCCATCTTTACAGCCTACCTTAAGACCCTTCTTTTCAGCTGCACATTTATATAATAATAATAATACAACAACTTGGATTTATATAGCGCCCTGTAATAATATAGATTATTTTGGTACCTTTCCCAAACCTCCTTCCTCAGCTATTCCAGCTAAACACGACACGTCAGGTTTCAACTTTAGTCAGACACGATAATAATAATCCTTGCATTTGATATAGTGCATAATTATGATGTTGAAACACCTCAAAGCCCTTCACACGATTGCACTTTACTGTGAAGTGTTGTGACACATTTTCAGAGGTTCCAGAAGCTTGTGGCAGACTTCTGTATTTATTAAGAACAATGTTTGAACACCAACTTCAAAGGAACTTTATTGTGAGTCAACTGCAAATTTACAAGTTCTTTTGCAGCTGGTGTGCAAACAGCATTCATCATAAAAAAAGCTCCTGCTCTACAACAAGCACGTGTTGATGCTATGAAATCTCCTGATCACATGCAATTTTTCTCATTGTTGTTAAGCAACGAAAGAAATGTTATTGGGTTTGGCAAGGATATTGCAAAAACATTTATACTAACAACTTTTACCACTTCCAACGAACGTGAAGTTACTTACACTATGCAAATTTGCGAACCAAGAACACTGAACTGAAAATCATTGTGTCGTAGCAGTCAACCTAATGAACTGCACCTTGAGAATCGTCAGTAGCTAGAACTGATATTGATCATAAAGCCGTGATGGCTAGTGCTAGGAAGGCGATATTTTAATAAGTTGTCTCTTTTTTATGGGATTCTGCAGCTTTATAGACAAGCAAAAATATGGTCTGTGAAGCCAGTAGTGCATCAATATTCCCTTCCGAATGGTGCTAGCAACTGGGCCAAAGGTACATTAGAGAGAGGGCAACATCCAACACGAGACATAGTGAAATAGATTATTAAGAGCTTACTTATAATAAAGCTTATCTCAGCATCCCACTGCTCTCCTTTCTCTCTGTGCCACAAATAAAAACATAGAAATAAATAAGTACCCTTTAATTAACTGTTTTATCTTATGAATACGTAGGAACGCCGTAGAACCACTACTAGAGTAGTTGGCTGTGACCGGGGCTTTCAGAACACGAGGTTACACTCAACGCAATGAAACAATTTAGCATTCTGTACTCAGCTAAGTTACTTTACAAGATCAATTGGACTGGGCACAATATTTTACAGTATGTAGAATTATGGACGGGGAAGAAGCGGTTTATGGAAAATAATTCACCAAGTGACTTTAGAAAGTCAGCTTTGTTGACAGCAGAAGCTCTATTCATTCCATTCCTCCCGCACTGATAGTTTTGTTTGTCCCAGATATTTTCTCTCAGATAAAACAAAGCAACTGTTTTACGAGTGATCTTTCTCATGAACATCCCGCAAACTGTGGTATTACAAGCGAGCTAGGATTTATTTGAAAATACACTAACACACAGAGATATCACAATGTGGCTCACGCTCCATATGGAGTGTAAATACTGTACAAATACTGTATATCAGGCTCTTGTACAGTGTCATAACCCTTGCATAGAATTTATAAGTGCTTGCAACGAAGGGTTCTAAGCATTTCCAAATACGACACATAAAAAANTTATAAGATAGCAGCATTCCACACATTCTCGAATGGACGAGGAACATTCTACAAGGCAGTAACACCGAGGGGGTTATAGAGTTATATAGGGTTATATTATAGGGTCGACCACAGCAGCATAGTTCATGCAGTTTACAACATTCCAGTTGATCCCAAAGTCTTGCGTGTTGCAAACACACTGAACTCAAATTAATGTAGACGGTATATGCTATAAAAATGAAATTCACTGTATGGCTTCCTTCAGGTTTCGGGCAAGTTATACATCAGCAGCATTGCAGGCAACAAATGGCAACCAAGTACAGTATTAGGTTACTAGAAAAATTTCTAGTACACTTTCAGGTCAATACTCAATTAACATCGTACTGTGGGTACATTGTGCACTAGCAGGCATGTCCTGGCACAAGTACAATAATTTAATGCCAGTTTTATCTTACAAGTTCACACCCACGTGAAACTGGATCGAGACACCCCATCTCATTTCACATCAGCCCCTTTGCAGTAAATACAAAATTATACAATACAATTCACGTTTATAAAGCGGCATTCATGGCAGGAGGACACTGCTCAACACACAAGGACACCCGAGCTGGGGTATTTCCAATGAATAGACAGGAGATTATCAGCTCATACTCTGGATTGAATTTGAACACAGCTTTCAGAGTTAAAAGGCCATATCGTGCTGTACTTTTAACATTTATTAACACACTGTATTACTCATTTCAGTCAGGCTGCGGTATAACACAACAAAAGTATTGCCTACATTGTAACCTCAGCCTGACCAATTCCTCAGATTTATGACTTCTGGTATGAGTTGCCTCTGAGTCAGCAGGTTATGGGTTCAAGTTCCACGTTACTTATACATTTCGTTAATATTCCAATCTGGGAAAACTAAGATAAATAACTAATGAACTGTTTTTGATCAATGATTGGTGGCCTCAGACCTAATGCTTTTGGAAGGCAAGATAAGATGGCCATTATACAAGTATATGAACGATACACATCATAATCATGTGACAACCCCAATTATTTTGCCACCTGCTATTCTTTCCATACTAAAAAAAAATGTGTTTCCCGACTAAATGGATCAGCTAGTAATTGAGTTGCAGAACAATTTTATGCAAATTCACCCAGATTGCTAAATTCTAACTATCTAAGACAAACATATCAGGTTGCAAAAGTGACACGTCTCAGCACCACAGCAATAATGCTTCACTGCACAAATCGCAAAGGTACGTATTCGGCAAGTGATGCATCATCTACTTCCACGTTTAGTCCAATCAGCTGTTCATAGACTTTCTACTTAAGCTGCTTATCAGCTTTTGTAAAAAAAACAGCTAATACTAAATCAGGGTGGTGTACATTCTAATAATCCCTGCTGAGTATTTTTTTTGGAACCGGATGAAGGACACCAAATGCTGTTCAGTCGCTTAGTGCTGGGGTTAGTTTGAAAGTAAAAGCAGACCCCAAACCTAAATTTAAACGACTCTATTTGGACCCAGTGCTGTTGGGGGGGGGGGGGGGGGGGGGGAGAAGGAGAAGGGGGAGGCGGGAGGCTAATACAACTCCCCAGTGAGAAGTGAGGGAATCGCCAGTCAGTAGATAACCAGCTGCCACACAGAGAGAGAAAAAAAGAGATTTTATTTGAAATAAATAAAATAAAACATCAAGACTCATATCAGAAGTCATGGAGGAGATTAACATGGAGTGGGATCATCCAAGTTTCTCCCGGCATCCTGACCAACAATCCTCCAAGTAAAAATCAGTCACTTGTTTCGTGGCCATTTGTGGGACATTGCTGTGCGCAAATTGTGCTGCCGCGTTTGTCTATAGATAAACAAGTCGCTCCATTTCACAATAAATCCTGTGAAGCGCTTTGAGACATCTTTAAGATGTGATAAAAGCACTATATCAAATGCAAGGACTATTATTATTAATAATCAGACTGACGGGGATGAGAAGCAGCGCGATTTCCCGGTCGGCGTTGTCAGGCACCACCTGGTACCAGAGCATTTGCTGCAGCCCCAAGCCAAGCCCCATCCTTCTCTGTCCAATAGCAAGTAACGTATACGTGATGCATGAAGTGCTGAACGTTTCTCCCACAAAATACAGTCAATTCACTTTACAGTACATCCTGTGAAGCGCTTTGAAACGTCTCGAAGGCATGATTAAGGCGCTGTATCAAATGCAAAGGGTTATTATTATTATATACCTTTGCGATTGGTGCCTTTAGTCGCCCTCCCACCTCTCTGCCTTCCCTCACCCCTACACCACCCCTCCCCCATGCTCGGGCCCCGACACCTGACTGTTCAGCGCTTTGGGCCGTCCTCCCGACGTGAAAGGCGCTCTCTAAATGTAGTTCTGTTGTTGTTGTTGTTGGTGTAAGTGAAGCATTATCGCTCTGCGGTCTCCAAAACGTGTCAAGCACAATCTTGACACGTTTGGAAACAACAGGCAAGCCACGAATGCCGCAGAACTTCTCCACGGCGTAATGATAAGTAAGGCGCTAGATCAAATGCAAGGATAACAAAAATAATAATATAACAGCAGTAAGTCACGTATACGCGATGCATGACTTGCTGAACATTTCGCCCACAAGAATAGGCAGTCGCTACACTCTACAGTGTATCCGGTGGAAGTGCTTTGAGACGTCTCGAAGACGTGATAAGGCGCTGTATCGAATGCGAGGATTATTATTGTTATAACGATAATAGAACATCCTCTCTGCAACCTGACACACACACACACACTCCCCCCGCTTCTGTCTCTCTCGCTCTCCCTCTCGCCTCACTCTCATCCCCTCGCCTCACTCTCCTGCTCCCCCCCTCTCTGTCTCTCTCCCTCTCTGTCTCCCCCTCTCTCTGTCTCTCCCCCTCTCTGTCTCTCTCTGTCTCCCCCCCTCTCTCTGTCTCCCCCCCTCTCTGTCTCCCCCCCTCTCTGTCTCCCCCCTCTCTCTCTGTCTCCCCTCTCTCTCTCTGTCTCCCCTCTCTCTCTCTGTCTCCCCCTCTCTCTCTCTGTCTCCCCCTCTCTCTCTGTCTCCCCCTCTCTCTCTCTGTCTCCCCCTCTCTCTGTCCGTCTCCCCCCCCCCTCTGTCCGTCCGCCTCTCTCCCCCTGAACTGCTGGTGTTTGGTTTTAAATACAAACAAACAAAACAACCAGAACACTTGGATGACAGTTATAGTTTCACTCACACTTCACACCGGAACGATCCATGAGAGCCGCCAGTCAGCCACAGCCGTAGCCCCAGTCAGTCAGTCCCGGTCAGTCCCGGCGGGTCGGTCACCGACCGGAGGTTCGACCGACAACAGCTCCTCCCGCTCCACACCTCACTTCCGGTCCCCGGCCCTTAGCCAATCAGCTGACAGCGGTCCCTCCCCTTTCCCTTCCCCCCTCCCCCCGCGCTCACGTCCCTCCTCCTCCACCTTCCCCCCGCCCCCCCGGACACCTCACTCCCCGCACATCAGTTCCGTTCGCGACCGACCGACCGACCGACGGCGTCGCAACCGGGGAAAAAAGAATGGCTTTAAAACAGGCTTCTGTATTCTCTCTCTCTCTCTGTGTCTCTCTTTTTAAAAAAAAAACACTTTTAATTAATTAAGATCTCTCTCTATATATGTGGAGTCCTGTAGCTCAGTGGTTACAGCATTCGCTTTGCAAGTGAGAGACCTGAGTTCAATCCCCGGGGGGTCAGTCAGGGCCAAACCTCGGGCAAGTTTCCTTACCACAGAGCCTAATAATAATGCCTCCAAAACCCAAAACAATAATAAATTGGTCATTTTCAATCCACGACTGTTTGTGGGACATTGCTGTGCGCAATTGGCCGCCGCGTTCGCCCACAAATATACGGTCACTTCACTTTACAGTGTGTTCTGTGAAGCGCTTTGGGACGTCCTCCCGACGTGAAAAGCGCTCTATCAAATGCAAGGATTATTATTAGTATTATTATTATTATTTCTTTCTCTCCCTCTCTTGTCTTCGCTCTCGTTTCGTCGTTCACAGTTTCAATATCTGTTCACGAAAAAAGAAACGGCTGCGAGAGGCGCCGATTAAAAGAGCCGCACAGGTGCGAGTCTCTCCCCCCTCTCTCTCTCCCCCCATCAATCACATGAGTTCCACCTCGTCAGTCAACTGCGTTGAGCGTCGAGAGAGATTTATTTCTGAGGTGAATGACGGTGAGGAGGAGGAGGAGGAGGAGGTTCACGTTGGCTGTGATGTGCGTGTGTCGCGCGCGCGCGCGCGCTGCTCAAAACGATTCTACCTGCGCCGCCGCCGCCGCCGTGCGTCTGAGCTGGGAACTGCACACACGCCACCCCCCCCACGCTGAGCGGCGACAGACGTCATCACGTTCCCCAAGCCAGCCAGCCAACCAGCCAGCCAACCGAGGGGGCGGGGCCGGGGCCAGGGGGAGAGCGTGGGCTCCGGTTGGTGCGCTCGTTGCCCGGCGACCGCCCCGCGCTTTCCGATTGGGCGCTGCTGTTGCCGGGCGACCGTCCCCGCGTGCCGATTGGGTCCGCGGCGGCGGCCTCGCGCTCGCGCTGATTGGGGCGGGGCGGGGGGGGGGTCAAAGGTGGTAAGTTCCCCGGATGGGTGTTCGGCGCTGGGTGACCGTCTCGTGTGGTGTCAACGGCTCTCCTCAGGTCAGTGACTCTCTGTCTCTCTCTCTCACCCCCTTTTCTCTCTCATTCTCTCCTTTTTTCTCTCTTCCTCTCTCTCCTCTTCTCGCTTTCTTTCTCTCCCCCCCTCTCTTTTTTTTTTGCTCTCCTTTTTTTCTTCTCTCCCTCCCTCTCTTTTCTCTCTCTCTCTCTCTCTCTTCTTTCTCTCTCGCTCATTCTTTCTTTCTCTCCCTTCTCGCCCCCCCCCCCCCCGCCCACTCTCTCTCTCTCTTTCTTTTTACCTGAGATCATCATCACCATAATAACAATCCTTTGCACTTGACCCGGCGCCTCATCGGCATCTTCGAGACGTCTCGAAGCGCTTCACGGGCGGAGGAACGGCCATTTGCTCGACGGAAGGGGGTCCGACCGGTCCGTCGCGGTGCGCCTTTCGCCACCGGGGTCCGATCCCTGACCGTCCAGCCCAGCGCTCTCGAGACGGCGCCCGGCGTGCGGGGCGCTGTATGAGTCCAAGTTGTCGTCGGCGGCGTCGGCGTCGCGGTCGTCGGACCGACGTGAAAGGCGCCGCTGCGTCGGTGTGACTTGCCGTTCGCCGCTCAGCCCGAGCGTCTCGGGCGGAGAAATTCTTCGGAGACCGCACTGCGATTGAGCGTCACGCCTTTTGTGGGATTTTTTTTTTGGGGGGGGGGGGGAAGGGGGAAAATTAAATGGAACGTCAGGTCCCCGTGAAGGCATACGCCGCCGCCGCCGCCGATGGTGATGGCAATAATGATGATCCTTGCGTTTAATCACGTCTTCGAGACGCCTCAAAGCGCTTCACCGAATAGACTGTAAAGTAAATTGACTGTATTTTTCGGGGGGAAAATAGATAAAAATAAACAAAGCAGTAATATTGGGAGGAGGCTGAATCGTAGCCAATGCATCATACCCATGTTTTTATCAGCCTCTTTAACTATATGCGCTGCTGCAAATCGTTTTCTGTTGCACGTAAATCACAATGCTCAAACTTATTATTTCTGCAGTTCAAATTGCTCTAATGGCATCAAATTCGGGCAATCCACTTGAAACTAAACATGAGACAAGGAACAAGACACTGGAACGATGTCTTGATGTTTTACGATCTGCAAACAATGATAGTGAACAATTTGCTGCTCTCCTTCTGGTAAGAACTTGTTTCAATCAAATGCAGATGTGCTGTTTTGCAACCTAAACCTACTCCATAGTCTGTGAGTGGGAGGTTTTTATTCTTTTGTTCGTCTTGCAGTAAATAATTGAACAGGGTATAAACATTTAGTCACACTCTTATTCAAGTATTTAGTTAAATTGTTTTAATTGGTGTGAATTAGCACTCCACTGGGTAATGAAAATTCCATTTTCCCATGTACTTATAAATAACTAATCCTTTGATATCGCCCTATAATAATTTTGATATATCTCAAAGCACTGCTCAGACTTTCCTGAAATGGCTGACTGGGCATTTGTAGGTGAGCAAAGCAGCCAATTGGCGCATAGCCCAACATCACACAAAGCAGCCATGAAGTGAATGACCAGTTTTATCTGGAGGATTTTGGTCCAGAATACTGGGAAAAACTTCGCTTCTTGGGCCTTAAATTCTTCTGACTTGGAGGCTATGGTGCTACCAATTGAGCCAGGCTTACATAAACGTTATGGTTTTCTCTTCAGCAGTACAATTGGCATCAGCATCATGTCTTTCCCTTCACACCCCCATGATAGAGAAGCTAATATCAGTTTGAAGACTGAAATTGATGCAGAATATAAAATGTTTGAGAATAAATGGATTTTTTTTGTTGTGTTTTAGGTAACTAAGGTGGTGAAAGCGGGTGACATCAATGCTGGGACGCGACGAAGGATATTCGATGCCATCGGATTCTCTTTCCCAAACCGACTCCTTGTTTCCAAAGAGACACCCCAGGACTGTCCCATTCATGTTTTCCGTGCTCTTGGGATAACTCTACTTGCGTGCTTTTCAACAAATCCAGAATTGGTCACTCACCCTCAGATTCTAAACAAAATTCCTATATTCAACGAAATAATCAGCTCGGAGGTGGATTCTGAAGCAGATAATCCCATCTTAACATCGATGATCGATGACTCTTACCAATGTCTCACTGCCGTTTCTGCATCCTCTCAGGGACAAAGACATCTGGTGAATCGAGGAACAGTGCCTGCTTTATGTCAAGCTTATCTAAAACAAGGCCATAGTCACGAGCAGGCTTTGCGGCTTCTGGTCACTCTGTTAAACACGATGGAACAGAAATGTTGGAACACCTACAAGCCAGAGCTTTCGAAGGTGCTCGGTGTCCTCTGTGAGCAGTTTTGCAGAATCGAAGATAGTAGGAAATTTGAGTTGTGTGAAATGTTGCAGCATGTTCTACCCCCTTTTCCTATTCTGACAGAGGACTCGGTCCCTGGGTCACTGAAGAACCTGTACACTGGACTCTTCAACATTCTCAACAGTAAACTCAGCAGCTCGCAAAGTGACCCAGCTTTGAAACTCGCTGCTATACTTCTCACTGTTTATGGCTCAGACTGGATCCTGGCAGAGAATGCTGAAACAAGACGTAAATTCCTGGCGCTGATTGTGAACCTGGCCTGTGTGGAAGTTAGAATTTGCCTGGAGGACCCAGGTCTGGGCATAACTTGCTCTAAACCAGATGTCATCACAGCGTGTTACAGTATCATTGAGTTTGCGATGATGGTTTGTTCAGTTGGTGAGAAGATTTGTTTCACAGTGGCAGAAAGCAACCAGTTAGTACGAATAATGGAGGAGGCATTTGGAGCAGTAATATACTCCCTCAAGCAGGTAATATAATAATAATCCTTGCATTTGATATAGGCAGTGTAGAAATTGCACGCTGCACCAAATCTGTATTTTCCTAATTATAATTTCTTGCATTCAAGTAAGTGGCACGTTTGATGAAAACAAAGTGAGGAAGTGCTGACAGCGGATTTAGATCTATTTATTTAAAAATTGTATCTAATCTTCATTGTTTATTCCCTGTATTTAGGTCACAGAGAACAAGCTGCAGGATCCATTTCTATTTGCCTCGGTTCGCATCCTAGGAGTATGGATGGCTGAAGAAACCGCAGCGCTCAAACAGGAAATCTGTGACGTGCTACCTTTTCTGATTCATTATGCAAGGACTTTGTTTGAATGCCCAGCAAAGTTAGATGACTTGTCCAGTCAAGTGGAAGGGCTCGCTCTAGTTGACCGCTCTGAGACAACAGCCTGGACTAAAGATGCCCTGAGGTAGGAATGAGAAAATGAGGTAGCACTGAAGTTCTGCAGCCAATTCCACATTGCCCTGTTTTCTAAACTAGATGCCTGGCTTGGGCTCATCTTGATGCTCACCATGTTTGCCAGTGGTAAGACAAAATGCCAATTTGTTAAGAAACGTGCTGTTCCCTGCCACAAAGACTAATCTGACTCAGACTCAGACAGAGTCACAGATGAATCAACGCTAACTGATAACAGTTGCTGAATGATTGAGGCACAAAGCAGATGTTTTTCATTTCACGTCTCATTTCTGGAGCGTTGCATGCTTCAAAGCAGTTTTTTTTCCCATGTTCAGTGTGAATAACTGTTGAAAAATGTTAGCGAAAATATATCTGAATTAGTATTCCAAACCGAGGTGAAAATAGTGTGGATATTTCTTCATGTTACAAACGGTGGATTGAAATACAGGAGAGAAAATTCATAGTTTCCCATTGACCACTGGTAGTGGCCGCTAATACGTTTTGTAAATATTCTCTGGAAATTTGGAATTCCAACTGAGCTGAGCTTGGTTGTGACAAGGTTGACAGGTCTTGCCTTTCGCTCTGGTACCTCCTAAGTAACAAGATGAAAAATTGTTATCTCTGCAGGTTTCTGTTACCTGGGTTTTGTCACCTTTCAGCTGAGGATGAGCCTCGGAGGATCTTGATCTCGCATGGGTTTCATGTCTTGCTTCTCCGTTACTTTACACAACAGTGGGAGGTTTTCATTTCGTCCCCGAATGCACCGTATGATGCTGAAATGAGTCTCAGGACAGCGTGTGGAATCTTTCTGAATCTTGTGGTAACCGAGCCAGAAATGATCAGGTACGAAGTGCTGAGAGGATGTTTCTTTGTGGAAAGTCCCTCCGACTCAGCCTCTCCTTCCCCACTTTCAAAGCCCACCTCAAGACCTACCTTTTTGACCACGCTTTCAATCGTCTTCCTCTCCCCCTCCACCCTCGGCTTGGTGAGCAGTCAGTTTTACAAAGTGCTTTCTAGCATCCTCCAGATGTGAATACTATGTAAATGTACTTTGTCTGGATTAACACGTTCAGTTATTTTGTCATTGAAAACCTGAAGTATTTATCAACCATTGGATTGTGTTTTTTCCTTATTGTTCCAGACAAGAGGAATGTTTCTCATCCCTGTTGAGTTTGCTAATGGAGTCTCTGCAGTCATTGCTGTGCAGCCAACATCACCTCATTCTCGCTGCAAATTTTACCACTCTGGGACTCATGATGAGTCGGATATTAGCAGATACTCCAGGTAAAATATTATATTCTGTGAACAGTTATTAAATTATTTTCTTTCTTTCGTTTCTCTCCTCCACATAGATTGTGTGTGTCAGTCTGGCTCAGTTGGTAGCACTCTCGCCTCTTGAATCAGAAGGTTGTGGGTTCAAGCTCTACATTAGGTGTTGGAACTCGTGTGGTCAAAGCTGGCAATCCAGTTCATGTCCCCAGTCCTTTCCACCCCAACAGCTGGAGGTGTCCTACATTGTCGGAGGCGCCATCCTTCAGATGAGACATTAAGCCAAGGTCTGTCTGGCTATCCATGTGGACCAGTTTTATCAGGGGGTTTATCGGCCAGAATAGAATATACTAGAATATTCTGACACTTTCAGAATATCTGCAAACTTGCTGCATCTCTGCAGAAAGTTAAAATGATGTATTATTGTGCTTCAGAATCTGATCAGAGCGGAAGCACTGAGAAGTGGTGTAATGAAAAACTGTGTTGTATTTCAGTGCTTCAGGGGACCGCAGTCTCCAGGGGATTTTTCCGAGGGGCGATTCACTTTCTGTCCAAGGCCCACGTGACTCAACTGGAGGAGGCTGAGGAGAGAACCCAGATTGTGGTATCTGAGAGATACCAAGAAGCTTGGGATCAAATCTCGGAGCTCTGGTTCCTGGGCATGCAAGCCTTTGCCAGTTGTGTGCCCTTATTGCCCTGGCTACCACAAAGTGTGGTCGAATCAGATTGGTTGAAGGATATTTTTGACTTGCTGAACCGGGCTTCACCGGTGACTGTGGAGCTTGACTTCATTACCTCCTTACAATACGTTCTAGTAGAGCTGGCTAAAAACAGCAAACACTGCCGAGACATCATGCTTCTGAATGATTGTGAGGAGAAGGCAAACCTGTATGGAATGGCAGGCTTGGAGCAGTGTTTGTGTCAACTTGAGCCACCCCATCCACTTAGGATGGTCACCACCCCACGTTTTCTGAAGTGACGTTTTAGGGATAATAATAATACTTGCATTTGATATAGCGCCTTATCACGTCTTTGAGACGTCTCAAAGTGCTTCACAGAATATATACTAAAATGAATTGACTGTATATTTTGTGGGCGAAACGTGGCAGCCAATAGCGCACATCAGTCCCACAAACAGTTGATTATATATGTGTTTGTTGATGCTTTCAAAAGCTGAAAAGGTTTTATGGTCTTTTTTTCAACCCCCAAATTATTGCACATATTTTAATTTACAGAGTTCACCATTGTTAATAATTGCTTAAAATAATGTCTGCATCATTTTGTTAATTTGATATGTTAATTTGTGGAGTCCTGTAGCTCAGTGGTTAGAGCACTCGCTTTGCAAGTGAAAGACCTGAGTTCATTTCCAGGCAGAGGGCGAAACCTTGGGCAAGTTTCCTTACTCCACACAGAGCCTAATAATAATCCTCCAAAACCAAAAACAATAATAAATTGGTCATTTTCAATCTACGACTGTTTGTGGGACATTGCTGTGCACAATTGGCTGCCGCGTTCGCCCACAAATACACAGTCAATTCACTTTACAGTGTGTTCTGTGAAGCGCTTTGGGACGTCCTCTCGACGTGAAAAGCGCTATATCAAATGCAAGGATTATTATTATTATCATATATGAGATGCGCTCCTTTGATATCACTTTGTTTGCCCTGAAATACCATTTATTCTTTGGAATAAAGATTAAGTGTTGTATGGTTTCAAACTCTTTGTGATAAGAGATTGCTTTTGTCTTTGGCTGCAAAAAAAAATTAAGGGGAGAGAGAGAGAAAGGCATGACCAATATAACATTGGTTTACGTGGGCAAGCAGAATCGTAACCGGAGCCGAGCAAGTAGCAGCGTTGGCTGCAAAAGTCATCGGAACACTCTTTATGAGCATGTTAATTAGAATCTACAGGATTTCAAGACTAGATTGCTCTTGGGAGTTGTACAATGCTGATGGAAGGGGTGTCTGGTGAATTTTATTCAAGTTCTGTATCATTGTATGTAATGACCAGCTTCAGTGAACGAGGAGCATGCCCCATGAGCCATAATAAACTGATATGGAGCTGATGCTGCTTTTTTCACCGGGAGCCAATGAATATTTCAGTTGGAGATGGCATCCTAACTGCGTTTGGTCCACTTGAAAGAATATTCTCAGTTGGCAACTGCTTGAATCTATAAAGCAAAGCATTGATGTAATGGGTGTGCAAAACAGCTATAATTTTCTACTGCTTTGATCAATAAAAGTTTGATCCAGACATTTTGATGTTTTCCCATTTTCTTTCTGCGTGCTGCATGGATTGGTGAACATTTTCAACAAGGGATTGTTTTATTAATAATAATAATGATTATTGTTGTATTTGATATAGCGCCCTATCACATCTTTGAGGTGTCCCAAAGCGCTTCGCAGAACATACTGAAAAGGGAATTGACTGTATTTTTGGGGGGAGAATCGTGACAGCCAATAGTGTCCCACAAACAGTTGTGGATTGAGTGACCGTATTATTTTTAAGGGATTATTACCCTCGGAAAAGCGATCAACTGCTGTCAATTCACTCTACAGTATATACAATACACAATTACATTTGTATAGCGCCTTTTACATCGGGAGGACATCCCAAGGTGCTGCCCACTCCACCAGCCGGCGCCTCCGCTCGACCGGCCCCCGGCCTCCTGCTCGTCCCTCGTACCCTCCGCCCCACCGTCGGGAGGTCGCGCTTTCAGCCACTGCCCCCCCCCCCCCCCCCCGAAACTCTGGAACGCTCTCCCTCGGTCCCTCCGCCTCGCCCTTCCTCTCTCCCCTCTTTCGAGTCCGGCCCGAAGGAAGACCTGCCCGATCTGACCGACCGTGCTTACGGCCCCTTCCCACCCACCCCACCCTCCCCGGCGGCTCGGAGTCGGGCTCCGCCGCTGTCCAGTGCCCCGAGACGCTGTACAAAAGCTCGTGCGAGTCGTACATCAAATGAGAGGGTTCTCTTTGACCTTCAGCCTTCAGCTCCCCTCTCGACTCTCTACCCCCTCCTCGCTCCCTCCCTTCCCTCCCCTCACCATTTCCCCCCTCCTCGCTCCCTCCCTTCCCTCCCCTCCCCCTGACCATTTCCCCCCCCCAATGCTCGGGTCCCGACCCAACTGTACAGCGCCTCGGGACGTCCTCCCGACGCGAAAGGCGCTCAATAAATGGAATCTTGTTGTTGTTGTTGTTGCGTTCATCACTTGGATCACTGATATCACTCGTCCAGTGTTCGTCAATGAAGCAGGAAGTGGGAGGGGGCGGGGCCTGACATGTCAATCAACCCGGAGGGGGGCGGGGCCTGACATGTCAATCAACCCGGAGGGGGCGGGGCTGGCCACACGTCAGTCAGGCGGCGGCCGCGCAGGCGCAGTGTGAAGGCGGGAAGCTTGTTTCCCGCTGCAGTCAGTCAGTCAGGTCGGTCAGTCAGAGAAGCGGCTCCACCGACTGACCGCCCGCAAACAGCCCGACCGTGTGTGTGTGTGTGTGGTGGTGTTTTTTTTTGGGGGGGTCGGCGGGAGGGGAGGAAGGCCAAGATGTGCTGACGAGATTCGGATCAAGTGTCCCCCCCCCCACCCCCCCCGTGAGGCCGGTAAAGGCAACGGAGAGCGGGAGGGAGAGGCCGGCGGGAGGTGGGACGGCGGCGGCGAAGAAGACTACGGCGGTGACCGGGGTGGGGGGGGCGGGGAGTTTCGAACGAATGTGGACGGTTTGTCTGTGGGCGCGAGCCGAGCGGCTCTGAGCGCTTGTTCCCGCCAGGGCCAGGGCCAGGGGGGAGGCCGCGGGGCCCCGGGGAGAGGCCGGGCCGAGGGCAGAGGGTATGTCCGCGTCAGGACCGGAGTCGGAGCCGGAGCCTCGGCCCCTCAGTGAGGTAAGAGGCCGAGTCGGGCGGGAACAGAGGGACTGAACGGTGCCTCTCTTTGTTGCTTCTCCCCTCCTTCCCCCTCTCTCTCGCTCTCTCTCTCTCTTAAACCGGGGAGCGTGAGGATTTAATCGTTTCACTCACTCACTCATTCACACTCTCACTCACTCTCACTCACTCCCATTCACTCTCTCACTCACTCACTCCCATTCACTCTCTCACTCACTCATTCACACTCACTCTAATTCACTCTCACATTCACTCTCTCACTCACTCTCACTCATTCACACTCTCTCTCACTCTCTCACTCATTCACACTCACTCTAATTCACTCTCACATTCACTCTCTCACTCACTCTCACTCATTCACACTCACTCTCACATTCACTCTCTCACTCACTCTCTCACTCATTCACTCACTCATTCACACTCACTCTAATTCACACTCTAATTCACTCTCACATTCACTCTCTCACTCACTCCCACTCACTCTCACTCATTCACACTCCCTCTAATTCACTCTCACATTCACTCTCTCACTCACTCCCATTCACTCTCACTCATTCACACTCACTCTCACATTCACTCTCTCACTCACTCCCATTCACTCTCACTCATTCACACTCACTCTCACATTCACTCTCTCACTCACTCCCATTCACTCTCACTCACTCACTCTCACTCTCTCTCATTCACCCTCATTCGCTCACTCTCATTCGCCCTCTTTCACTCTCTCTCACTCACTTTCCCTCCACTCTCTCACATGAAAAGAAAAGGATGTAATTAGTTTTACTATTTAATGATAATAATAATAATAATCCCGGCCTTTGACACAGCGCCTGATCACGTTTTCAAGACGCCTCAAAGCGCTTCGCAGGATACGCTGTGAAGTGTAGTGACTGTGTGTTTTGTGGGCGAAACGCTTTTTACTATTTTAATATTTAACTGTTCAACCTGACCCTTCTTATTGGGTTAATTGCTATTGACCAGCTTTTTTTTTAAATAAAAAAAATTCCCTTGCATGCACATGAATGGCTCCACGCATCATATCACCCACACAACAAAAAAAATACCCGGTCACTACACTTTACAGTGTATTCTGTGAAGTGCTTTGTTTGGTCACCCGCTGGAGAATCTTGTGGTAAAGCAAAACACAGTTCTACTTCTTATTTTATTTAGAAGCGATTTGTCTGGGCGAGTTTATTTTAAGACAATAAAGACAGGTGGCGGCTTAATTTCTTAACTGAACTTCTGAGCAATGTGGCAGGAGGGTGTTGCCTCATTTTAAACACATTTTTTGTTCCCACTCAAACTTAGCCAACACCTAAGCTAGAAAAGTACTGCTCAGTGTGTCAGGTCATTGAATTCTTTATTGAAATCTAAAGTATCAATTTTTTTTAAAAAAAAGACTTTTTATATGAAATTGATGTCCAAGCTCTTCCCCAAATAATGTACTGTTGTAAAGATTTCTGGAAAGTTTGTTTTATGTTGGTCTCTGGGCTTTAGCCATCTTTGACAAAAACCTCGGGTGGCCGGTTGGTTAGTTAAATTAACTTGAAACTTTATGAATGTGTCACACAACGAGCTTGTTGGGGGAACCATCAGTGATTCTCCCAATCTTATTTTTTTTTTAATAATTAGAATTGTGTTGAGCAGTCAGCTGTGATTAGAATTTGTTCTATTATTATTTGACAATTGGTGGAGCTAATTCCCTCTATTTGTATTTACCTTCCAGCTGATTGTCAGTGGTGAAGAGAAAATGACTAACGCTGATACTGACAGGTTGAACCAGGAAACCCACCAGACTTATGGTAAATGCTTGCATCCACTGCTTTGGTTTGGTAATGGTATTGCTGTTGGTGATCTGGGCTCACAAGGTCAGAGATGAGTTTTAAATGAAGAATTCCCTTTGGTCCATTTGATCTTATCCTTCCAGAATACCCACCCTACTGAGCTTCAGTTTACAGCAGAAAGCTGTTTTTTAAATGGCTCCAGGATCTTGGCGTCTGCCACCTCTCTTGATATCCTTTCTAATCTTTTAACTGCCGCTGGGTAATGAAACACTTTGTGCTTTATGGCCTGAAATCGCTGTTTGCAACCCGGAACCTAATTTTCTGACGCCTTCCCTCTGTGTTGGATGTTAAAATCACAAGGTAGTGTCAAGTTATTAATTGTATTTCTTTTGCTCCAGATTCGGATGAGGAAATTTTTGGCAGCAGGAAAGTGAAGGGGAGAAAGCCGCTCGAGAACAGTGATAGTGAAGGGGAGAACACCCATGTGAAAAAAGACAATTACTCTACATCTGATGGAGAAAGTGAAGTTGACCAGCGAAACCTCAATATTAACACTGTAGATAAGAGCAAAAAGTTACGTCGCATTCAGCGACTGATGTCGGATAGCGGTGAAAGCGATGAGGATGATCTGCCTAATCCAAATGGAGCAAAATCCAGTCCTATTGGTAACACAGGCAAGACTGCAGCAGAATCAATTCAATCTGATTCAGATTCTTCAGTTAGACCACAAAATAATTCAAAAGGACAGGACAACCAAGCAAAAGGAAAGGGCAAATCCCAGAGATGGAGGGAAAGAAATAAAAATAAATTGGCTGCACTTGAGAAACTAAAGAAGAAGAAAGAAAAGAAACAAAAAAAGCAGGTGTGAATAATTTAATTGTACCTAACATTGTAATTATTCCATCATTCTGGAAAGAATCGTCTACTAATGCTTAATTTTACTAATATTTAATATTATTATTAAACTGAAGTAATGTTACTCATTAATAGGGTTCCATCAAAACGCTCCGAGGCCCTGCCCCATTTGAAGGGAGCTATATAAATGCAAGCTGTTGTTGTAAATTGTTTCTACTATTCTCACTGTTTTCCAACTTTTGTATTAAGGAGGAGCTTACAACCTCCAAGACCTTAAATGACAGTGGCTGCCTGTTTGTTGACAATGACCTGTTTGAGACTGAAATGGATCAACTCCCTCAAGTAGGAGGAGATGATGAAGAGGAAGAGTCACTGGAAGCCATAAGAGCAGCAGTCAAAAAGAAAGCAAAGCAATCCAAGGTGAATGGATCTTACTAACCTGAGTGTATTTAATAGCCTGCAATTTTTTTCTTCGATTTGTTTATTGCAAATACAGCTCGTGTGTGCACTTGCGCAATAGCCCACAAGGATCAAAGAGCCTTTGACAATGTTAGGAATAAAATTAAAATGTCCCAATGATATGCATGTGTCAGCTCATCACTAAGAATATGTTTACTGTGATTCTTCTGTGCTTATAAGGTGGATTGTTTCATTATTAATGGATTGGTATTTCACTGTTAAAAACTGGTAATCGTTTATGCTGGATTTATCTAATCTTGTGGGTTGAATGAACCTAACCATTTAATTAGGTTGTGCCAATTTTTTAACATTTCTATGGTCATTGTTTTAAATTCTAAAATCTCTTGACAATATTGTTTAGGCTTTATTGTGGTGTACAGACTCTGGTATCTATCAGTTTGAGTTGATTTAAATCCATCATTATTGGTCTGTTTTTAACTGTAATCTTTTCAATTTAGCGTATGAGCCCAGTTCCATCTGATGAAAATCTCTTTGATGATGATGATGATGACAGCAATGAGAAGACTGTAAAGAAGTGTCAGAAAAAGGTAATCTAGTTAGTTTGGGACCTGAAACATCTCATCATATCATTTCCAAACCTGCTTATTCATTGAAGGAATCATTGAACAGTTCAGTTACTGTTATTTTAAAGCAACATTTTTGTTACTTAAGATTATCTTCTCTTGTCTTTTTACATCTTCAACTATTATTTCAGCATTGATGGGTTCCTCATCCTTTAACCAATTTTTTGACAAAACAAATTCAATGAGAATTAAGACAATTAGAACTGAGGTTAGGAAACATTTATACACAAATGTATGTCTGTTTACTTCCTTAATTCTGTATTTTTTTCTTAAGATTCGTGTAGAAAGGAAGGCAGCAAAACAGAGTAAAGAGGCAATGCGCCAGATTCACAGTGAAACTCAGCGACTAATGCGAGGTGAGGATTTGAAATGTTGAAAGTAGCTTTGATGTGCTTTTCCTCATGCCACTTTGTGCTGCTCTACTCTAACAATTTAGCAGAACTGAGGTGAATTTCTAAAGGCGGCTTTCATTCTGTACCCTGACCACTATACTGAAAGTCCTACCATCTATTGGTTCATTTGAACGGGTTAACATTGTTCTTTTTCTCTTTTCAGAGGCGAGTCATTCTGTGCCATATCATGTACCAGAACCCAAGACCATTCATGATTTCTTCAAGAAACGATCACGTCCGGTTTGCAATGGAAATGCCTTGGCCCTGCTCAAGTAAGTGGCTTGTCAAAAATGCTTGTTTGATATGGCTGTCTCCTGACTATATAATATAATCTGTGTAATCTTTATAGTCTAGTTGTGTTAGGCACTTGGATGACCAAAACACCCTATCATCCAGCTCATCATGTAGACTTGTAACGAGCTAGAGATTGACAGTTGAGTAGGCTCATTTTCTTGGTGGTTAGTTTAACTTATGGAGCGGTTTAATTGTGGTGAAATAATTTCTAATCCGTGCATTAAATCTCATTTAGTAGTGTTTTGTGCTCTGAAATGTTTAGCCCAATATTGTGTTCCAGAAGTTTGTGAAAAGTTGCTGTATGATCCTTGCTCCAATATCTTTCTGTGATTTACCAGTGTGATATATTATTACCAAAATGTTGGGGCCTTTAATATGCTAGGAAAATTAATTAACGTATGTTTTTCTTTCAGATCGGTTAAGTATGAATCCTACTTGCTGCAGGAAACCTCAGACTCTACTCCAGCTGAGCCCAAAGCATTGGTTGCTTGTCCTCAGGGTGACAGACAGCTGAGTAATAACGATAGATGTTCTGCAACTGAGCAACCTCATTCGGACAATCCATATGACAAAGGGGATGCTTGTCCTGATCTATGTACTGATGAAGGTCAGATAGAAAATAAACAAACTGCAGAGACAATCGAGCATCTGGGTTTGAGCACAGTTTTGTCGAGCGAAGACAAAGACGGTGAAATTAATGAGGAAACAACAAACTCTTTTCATTTGGAACTGACTGAAGATTTGGAAACTGATTCAAGTGAAAAATTGACAGTTGTCCCTGCTGTGGATTCTTGTGTAGAAATACGTGACAAGACTGAGCCTGATGCTGCAGTGAAGCTTGTCAATGATGTCAATATTGTCAGCAATCTAGAGAACTGTATCAAACCACCTGAAACATTAGAGGCACCTCCAGTGTCCGAGCAACAGAAGTCCAAGCTGGACAAGTTACGGGAGCTAGGAGTCGACTTGACTCTGAAACCTCGGCTCTGTGCTGATGCAGGTGCCTTTGTAAACTTGGAGGAGCCCAAAGAGAACAAAGGTTACCTTCTTTCTGTTGAATTTTAACTGCACACCAATAATAACAACAACTTGCAATTATACAGCGCCCCTCACACTGGTCGGTGTCTCGGGTCGCTAATAATATAATAATAATTGCATTTGATGTAGCGGAGACATTTTTAAAGATTAAAAAAACTATTTGACGTGTACCTTTATAACAAGTTTAAAATTTGAGAAATTTGAACAGTGAGCTCAAGTTACATCTAATGTCAGTAAAAGTCCACGTAAAATTTATTCACTTTTTTTCCTCCCCATCAGCTTTAGAAGCATTAAAAGAGCGATTTCTGAAACATGCGATCAAGCCCTGTAAACCGAAACAGGAGCGACGGGTAGAGTTGAGCATTATTCGGAAAGAAATCACCGCTGATGGGAAAGAGGAGCTGAAAGCTGATTCGGTATCAGTGACCCTCGGTACAAATGAAATGGAGGAACTCGGTCCAACAAAACCAGGTAAGTCCTTGCAGAGAATATAGGAGGAAACATTAACAAATACAAATGGTTAAAACTGGAGTTCTTGATTTTTTTTCTTTTTTTAAAAAAAAACTATCTGTAGGATTTGTGATGCTCTTTTATTCTGAGCAGTCTGAAATCACAGCTGAATAAACTTGTGATACTGGTGGAACAGTATTCAAATAGGGTTTGGGGCCATTTTTATGCATTTTAGTTACAGATGCAATTTAACAATAAAGTATTAATTTTTTTATATGCAGGTGAGAAATTGCAGGTTTTAAAAGCTAAACTCCAGAAAGCTATGAAGCAGCGCCGTATGGAAGAGCGTCAGAAACGACAGGAGCTATACAAGATTGATAACGAGCAGGGCTTTGAGGAAGAGGAGGAGGAAGAGGAAGAAGAAATGACTGATGAATCAGAGTCTGACGGAGAGAATACAGAGGTATAAAGGTTTTAGTAGTATTTACATGCAGAGCTGAAATTTGATTGACATGAAAAATCCCACAGCCTCTATTGGGTTTAAATCCAAACAGCATTATAGAAATGTTACAGATTGTTGATTTGAAAAGTGTCTTGCTGTCTCCAGGTGAAATTTTGGATTTGCATTAACCATCAGTCTTTTGTTTACAATTTGCCAATTCTGTATAAAAGGAGCAAATAGTACTTAATAATTTGAAAAGCTGTGCTTTGATCAAGTGTATGTTGTATTGGTAATCTACCTACTTGTTTATTCTTCTTTATTGAATCCCTCTGTAATGCAATCTTTGGGTTTTTTCGGTTAGACTGTGGAATTCCTGTTTGGTGACGAAGAGGCTGAAGTGGAATCGGATGGTTTAGAGGAAGAAGATGGTGACAGTAGCTCAGCATCAATTGATAGACCACAAAGTAAGTGAAGCTCACTAACAAAGTGGTTTCAGCCTATCATAGTTGATAGCACTCTCACCGCTCATAAAATAATAATAATCCTTACATTGGAAATAACATTTTACCATGACATTGAGACTTCTCAAAGTGCTTCACAGGATGTACTGTGAAGTGAACTGATTGTGTGTTTTGTGGGTAAAATGTGGCAGCTGGTTGCCTTTGCGAACCGGAAGAAAATTGGGTATCACTAACTTTTTCATTAATGTTCTATTGCAGATCAGAACTCGGCAATAAAAAGAGATTCGACACCAAAGCCTCAAATGACAGAATCCTTGCAACTCTTCAAATCTGACACCACTTCCTGTTCTAAAATGAGGTAATTAATTATCTGCACTTTCAAAATGTTTTGTATAACTACATTATGAGTTGCAGTAGCCTTTTAATGTAAGTGTTTTCATTTGCTGGTGAGGGAAATTAAATTAGTTTGAATGTTGCCTATTTCTTACAGTATATTAATTTTCAGTGCATTAATCACGGGTGAAGCATTGGAATGAGATTATTTCTGCGTTGGGGGATGGAGGGGGCGGTGGAGGATGGTCAATGGCAATTTGTAATTTTGATTTCCAAACATGCCTTTTATCTCATCACTCGATCTGATGAGTGTCTGAATAAGTATTAAGTGTCTTAAGTGTGTATAAAATGCCGACAATGCATGAAAAATGGAGCAAGTTGCCAGTCCAACACGTGTATTTGTACTGATTATAAATTTTATTTAGTGATCAGCATGCTGGAGACAAGTCATTGATGCAACTTCAACACACCCCACCTAAAAGAAAACTTGGTAATTAATTTACTATTTTCTGTGTAATGAATTGAGTGATTGCTCACAGATCAAATCAATTATGAGGATATCAATAAATAGTACTGTACTGTGTTTAGCGTAATTCAAAAATGTGTATCTGTATTTCTCTTTTAAACATCCCAATCGATTCTGTCTCCACAGCTTTCTGGGGCAGAGCATTGCATATCTTCACCACGCTCCTCTGTTAAAATGCTTCCTGACCTCAGTTCTAACTGCCTTGATTCTTATTCAAACTTAACATCAGTCAAAGAGGGGAGAGACTCATCAATGGCAAAATAAAAGTTCAACATGTAAAAAGACTGGAGAGGAAAATCTGAAGTAACAACATTTTTGCTTTCAGATGAAGATGATTCGGTCTCTCAGGCCTCCACAACAAAAGAGAACAGTCACAACAGCAGCTTTGAACTGGTGGGTTCAATGATTCCTTCATACCAGCCAATCAGTAAGCAGCCTGGCAGGTTTGGAGGTGCTATGATGGGAGGTTTCAGATCGCCCTCACCAAGCCTTTTCAATCCAAATAGCGTGTTCAAAACCAGCTTCATCAGTTCAACATCTAAGGTAAGCTGGTTGTGTTCTTCATGGAATTTGGTTGTTTTGGAGCAGATGTATTTCTTGTATTGATTAGATGTCTCAGATAATTGAGCATTTATTCTGAATACTTAAGCTGTATAACATTCTTAAACTAATAAGTCTCTGTTTTTGTAGAAGTGATTTGGAGAAAAAGAACCCGAAACCCATCAGCTGATTTGTCTTTCAAAGTACTTAAATTAAAATGTGAATGACTGTTAGCCATATTGCTATCTAACAAATCATTTCCAGCTCGATCCATAGTAGTTTTACCCTGCGTGAAGGGTGCTATATAAATACATCTTGTTGCTTCAAGTGCTGTACAGATGCCAATCTTCACTAATCCAGCCTTAAAGTCAGGGAGGAGTGTATGAAGAGTATCAAAGGTGTAATCAGAGCAAATCTGATTTTTACTTTCTGCATTGTACCCACAGAGTTCTGGAAAGTTGTCAGAACCGTCCCTGCCAGTGGAGGATTCCCAGGACTTGTACAATGCTTCTCCAGAACTGAAGAACTCGTTGGCTGGATCCCAATTCAGGTTCTCTCTCGAGGATGAAACGCAAAGCCAATTACTAGACGCAGATGGGTAAGTTCCACTTAATAAAAAGAGAGGGAAATAGATTTGCTTTTAAGTGTGTAGAACATTACAGCAGAAGGCAATTTCTTCTGTTGTGCAATTTCAGCTGGTTAAACACCATTAGTACCCCAATGCACACTGTTGAGTTCCCATCTCTTGCCAATCTGCCCTAATACTCTCCATTGACAGAACAAATCTTTGTGTGCAGGTGAAATAATAGATGCAGATTAGAAATTTGATCGTTCTCTTGAATGAAATAGCAACCTTTTATTTTAAATGTAGGTTTCTGAACGTAGGCCAACGCAGTAACAAGTGGCAGCCATCAAAGCGGCAGCTGATGTTGGACAGTATGGATGAAAACGCAATGGATGCTAACATGGGCGAGTTGTTAGGCTTGTGCTCAGGACAATTTAAATCTCAAAGTTCTGGTGCACCGAAGGAAAATCACAAAGAACAGGAGGAAAATCTGGATGAGTTGCTTGGGCTTTGTTCTGGAAAATTTGTTTCTCAAGGTATGTTATCATGTGTTTATAATTACGGTTTTCTTTTTTTTCCAAGTTGTCTTTACTAAGACTAACCTTTGAACAATAGTTTATTATGTAACAAACTCTGGACAAATAATTTATAGGGAATTTTATTCAAATATTATTTGGCTTGCTGTAATATAACCAAGGTAACCAAATGAGTGTTTGAGGTCTCCATTTTTCCAATACTCAGAGTAGGATTCACTCTGGCTTCTTCACTTTAACAGGAGAATCTTCATTCTCCAGTTCTTCAGTTGCTGAAAAGCAGCCAAAAACAGTGTCCACTCAATCAGATGGGGATCCAATGACCGAGGTGCTTGCCCTCTGCTCAGGCTCTTTTCCTACAGACAGGTAATAAATGACCCTTTGAATACAGAGTACAGTTGTAAATTCAAGTTTAAATGGAAAAAAAAGTTTTAATCTCTTCTACTCCTATGTTTAGAGAAGATGAGCTGGAGGAGGAGGAAGATGACCAATTTCAACTGTTAACTGATGATGAAGTTTTTAAGAGTGAGGTAAGAAAATGTAATTTAAAAAAGCAGTGAAATATTTAATGCAGTTTTTTATTGAAGTTTGAGTGGCCCATTTCAAATACACTGAATTCATAACAGTCCAAGGGACTCCCGAGTATAGAGGGACATTACAGTACTTGGGGAGTGCTGCATTGGTACTGGTTTCAAATGAGACATTAAACCTGAGCACGGTGTATTCTAGTTATTTTTTGCAAAATGAGGGAAACATTTTTTTTAATACGGTGACCAGGATGAGAAAAGCAGTGATGGAGAGGAAGATGGCGGTGAGGAGGAAGCGGAGGAGGAAGATGATGAAGAGATACAGATGGCGCGGGAACTGCGCATGAAACGCAAGATGTGAGTACACTGGTGACAAACCGAGACAAAACGTTTTAACAATCGATAATAAGGAATCCATAAATATTGAAACAGCAGATAGTTGTTGCTTGTGGTAATGGAAAAACAGGACAGGCTGATTTGATTAATTGTAATTCCCATTATTTTTAAAAGCATCTTTGCCCAAAGCCCCTCTGTTCTTGGCAGCCTTTCATAACATAATAATTTGCTGGCGAAAGAAGACCCAAGTCCATCTAGTTTGCCTTCAAATATCCTGGCAGTCACTTGATGGGTCGTGTCCGAAACTATATACTGTATTTCTAACAAACCTGTCCAACTTGTTCTTGAAAGAATCAAAACTTTCTGCTTCCACTGTCTCCTTAGGGAGCCTTTCGCTGAACAAGAATTAGTTACGACTACTGCAGAATCTTACAATGTGCAATATATTGGAAAAACAAAGCAATGGGTAACTTAATTTTATTTCTGTAGGAAACTGAGAGACTTTGTGGAGGAGGAAGCTGCGCTCTCGGGCAGTGAGGCAAGTGCTGATGAAGATGATGCAGGAGACTATGACGAGTATGAGGAGGAGGTAATTGATGAAGTTCTGCCTTCAGATGAGGAATTGCAGCAACAGGTCAACAAGATTCACATGTAAGTACTGTACATACTCAGTGTAGAGGACATTCACTTTGAGAGTGAATAGACATCTGAAGTGGGGGAATTTTAATTAATTGTATTACAACAGGGCTCCACTGTATGCCCTTTGCTGTTAATGCAACAAATTATTTTAATAGGTATGGGATCTTGATAAGTTTAATATTCAAATAAGGGTGATGGACTATTTTTATATAGTTCTGTCGCTCCCTGAAAAATAATCAACCCAACAGACCTTTTCTTTTGAGAATTTTGTTTGGAATGATTCTCCTGTCATTCTCACCACAGGAAGGCAGTCCTGGATGACGATAAGCGCCAATTACGTCTGTTTAAGGAGCGTTACCTGGCTGATGGAGACTTGCACACCGATGGGCCAGGGCGTACACGAAGGTTTCGTTGGAAAACAATTGGTACATTTTCTTGTCTTTCTCCATGCAGTGTTACGGTTTTAGTAGTAAATCTCATCCTAAGGATAAGGTGATCATAAAACTTGGTATAGGTTTGGGAATTTGAGCTTTGAATGTTATAATAAATTTTCTATTGTCAGAATTTCTAAATTTCAACACAGAGTTGTTCCTTCGGAGATTATAACTGAAATGTTAGCAACCTGACTGATGTGCTGTAGATTTTCAGTGATGTGCTTCTAGCATTTACTTTTTCTTTTTACCTCTGCAAAGTTTTTCAAGCTTACTTCTGGTTGGGGATTTACTTTCAGGCCATAGGTCAGGTCATCTGGAAAAAATGGGGTGGATCATGTTTTGCTTTCTTGCCTTATTACCAAGTGTTTAAATTTTCTATGTGGACTAACTAGCAGAATGCTCATAAATTGTTGGTATCCTGTGGCTCTAAGCAATCTTTTTAGGCTGTTATACAAATGGAATTTCCTTTTGCACATAGTAGACTTGATGGCATTGGAGTATTTAGACAGACTTACTACTGAAGTCACTTCCCTTCAAACTATCCATTGTCAGACATAATAGTCAGCACAGGAATTAGTTCAGGTACTACGTTTACTGGTTATGTATTTGTATCAGACGCGGTTGGTTTACTGTTTATTTTAAAAACTGGCTTTGAACTTTATGAATTCTGCTGATCTTGTATTGAGATAATGCAAATGGTTTGGTTTCAAATATTATCTGGCGTGCTTTTGGTTTAGTTCTTTACACGTTTAATTACTGTAAATGTAAGCACCTTATTAATATGAATCCAGCTACTGTTGTATGGATTATGCTGGAGTGTATCCTAGTATTATACCATGACCATCCCATTCTAGAGATAATCGAAATTATTTTTACTTGATAGATTTTTGTCGATGGCTATTTCTATGACGTAATTTTTTTTGTTTCCCCAGACGACTCTTCACAGGCAGACTTGTTCCCTGGAGATTCTGATGAAGAAGAGAAAGAAGAAATAGATGAGACAGAAATGAAATGGCGAAAGGAGCGTTTTGAACGAGAGCAGTGGCTTCGTGAGCAGGTATGTATTTGCGTCCTGACTTGCTTTAGTGATTTGTCTAATTGAATATTATGTTAAGATAAAAAAANTTCTTCCCGAAGGTCAAAAATTGAGTGTTATAACTCCAATTGTTGTGAATAGATTTATAATCTTCACTAAATAATAATCTAAGTAATAAATGCCTTTTGGTCACTCAATCCACGACTGTTTGTGGTACACTCTGCAAAGTATATTTTGCAAAGTGCTTTGAGACATCTTGAAGATATGATGAAGCGCTATATCAAATGCAAGGATTATTACTATTAATACCGGGGAAAAAATGTTCAGTTACTAAATTTGGTTTTTGATATCGTTTGAACAATTTAGGCAATCTTATGATTGTTCTAGTGAAACCTTTAATGAGTAACTTTGCTGGTCCAAAGGATGATGTTTCTGCTTTTCTTTCAGTCGAACGCTGCAGATAGTGAGAAAGAGGAAGAAATTGATGAGGACAGTCAGTTCATGAAATTGGCCAAAAAGATTACAGTCAAAGCCTTGCAAAAGAAAGGTTTGTACTGATTCTGGAAATCTTTTTTAATGCACTGTTTTTCAAAGATTCTTCTGGCTTGTAAAAACATCCTGAAGACTTGAGCTTCTGTATGATATTTGAATTGGTTGTGATATTTCACCATAACACGTAGAACAGTTAGACAGAAGATTCATGGTTCATTTGAAATTACAGGTGATCTTGCAGATGCAGGACAAGAGAAGAACACAGGACCGATGGTGTGCCAGCCTCTCAAAACCCCCTCTTGCCGTTTGGTACGTAATTGTCATTCAGTTAGTTAATGCGTACATGCTACAGAGTATTCCAGAAAAATAAATTCTGTATGTCCGGCTGACTCTGTTGGTAGCACTCTTGCCTATGAATCCTGAGAAGGTTGTGGGTTCAAGTTCCAAGTCAGGATTTTGAATATAGTCTAGGCTGACAGTCCAATGGGTGTGCTGCTTTGTTGGAGACACCGTCCTTCGGTTGGGACGTTAAACAGAGGTCCTGTTTGTCTGTTTCGGTGGACGTTAAAGATCCCCGTGGCACTATTCAAGGGAGTTGTTCCTGGTTGTCGTAAGCAATAATCCGCCAAATAAGATTAGTGGGGCTGTTAGTGGGACATTGCTGCGCACAAACTGGCTGTCGTGTTGGCCCACAAAATCCAAACTTGCGGTATATATCCTCTTGATGGATGACGTGGAGAGTGAAAACAGTTGCTCAAATGATCATGTTTCATTCCTTTTTTTGCCTTTTGTATTAGATGAAAAATGGATCCTTGCTGAACCGACCCAAGGAAGTGCTGCGCAAACTTGCAGCCATATCAGAGGTCAACCTAAACGCTCCACGCGCCAACTCGCGCAACTTTGTCTTTCACACACTTTCCCCAGAGAAGAAGGCTGAGAAAGTGGAATCCAGACCAGAGGTGCGTGTATAACTGAGGTGCTGCGTGTGAGAGAGAATTTTTTTTGTTGTTGTTCTATCGGTGCTCAGTTTCCATTCTGGATGTCAATGTGGTGTTGACTATCTTGTGTTACAGTGAGATACTGTACCTTGCTTAACTGTTTTTGACTCCTTTGAGTGGAAAAACAAGTGCAACATACATTGCATTGGGTGGGTGAGAGGAGATATTCCTTGGTTAATTACTGTTGTGCGCAATTGGCTATCTCGTTTTGTCCACAAAATATACTGTCAATTCACTTTACAATATATTCTGTGAAGCGCTTTGAGACTTCTCGAAGATGTGACAAGGTGTTATACCAATTATTATTATAGAAAGCCTCAATCACCAAAGTTGAGTATGAAAACTGCCATTCCCAAGGCAAACCTAGTAAAATTTGGTCAGAAATACCAGAAAATACTGCTGAATGTTCATGGCTGTCTGTCCATCATTGTTAAGAGTTCACAAACATATATATATATATATAATAAAATCACTCGTGTTCAGGTTTGGCCTGATTGATTCTTGTCGAACAGTTATAGGTATCTCTGGAGTCATTTTAGAAATCATGTCAGTTGGTATAAAGAATTTCTTTCTCTCACAGGCTAAAAGGAAAACAGCTGCTGTGGCAATCGCACCATTGGCAAAGCGCCCACGGATTGAGAAGCCCACTACAAATAGCTCCCAGATGAGAAGTAGTATATTCCGTTATCTAGAGAAATGATTGTAATTATACTCTAGCTGCAATTTGTATACTGTTTGTGAGATTGTAAATTAGCTACGCTGTACATTTATGTGATATAAATGCTCTTGTCAATTTGTTTTATCTAATAAATTACTCATTTTTGTAACTGGTTTAGATGCTTCCATTTACCAGTGCTCCGGGATGCTACCCCAGACACCATCTTGAACTGTATCCTCTGCGTAATGGGAAGCCAGTGGAGGCGGGCGAGGATGGGGGTGATAGGGTCTCGGAGTCTGCTGCAGGAGAGGACATGGGCTGCAGAGTTCTAGATCATCTGCAGACTATGGAGGGAGGAGTTGGGGAGGCTGACAAGCAGGGAGTTTGCACAGTCAAGTATGGATGTTATGAACGCGTGTGTTATGATGGTTTCGGGGGCTTGTGGCGTGAGATAATGGCGGAGCCAGGTGATATTGCGATGGTGGTGAAACGCAGAGAGTGGGTCATGGCACGGATGTGGGGGAGAAAGGATAGTTGAGGGTCAAACAACACGCCAAGGTTCCGGACTGGCTTAGTAAGGTGGAGTGTGCATCCTTGGACGTCCTCCCCATGTGAAAGGCATTATATAAATGTAATTTGTTGTTCATTTGAACTAATGCCTGAGCTCCATGCCTGCGCCCCCTGGCCTTTCAATTTCTTCTGGTCACTGTTTGTGAAAAGATATAAAGATGGTTAGAGGTGGCCGGAATCACGAAGTGACCGAGAAAGTTGGGATATTCATCATTCTTCCAATCGTTTTGCCACAATGACACTTTTACGTACACGTGTGTGTGTGTGTGCGTATGTGTGAACACACCTCAATGTGGATAATCTCTCGTCTCTTGGGAGGCAGTGCATTCAGTAATGGCGGACTCTTTGAAAGTTGGAAATAATAATAATAATTAGCAAAATACTTTCCTTGCAAAGATTTGGGTGAACAGTACGATATTGTATGAAGTAGCTAGAGTTATGAAATGATAATACAGAGTAAAGTTCCATTCGGAGACACCAGTACACTTTCCAACCGCTCTAAAATGGTTCCCCTCTCTCAGCTGGTTCCTGAAAGGCAAACTCACAGCGATTCCTTGCTCTCTGAGCGCTGCCCAAGTTCCTCCCATTTTTTTTATTGCTGCTTTAATGATCGCAATTTATCCCCCCAAACCGCAGGCAGTGTTACACAGCCTACCTTGTTCTTCCGAATTGTACTATGAGTACGCTTGGTTGTTGTTCAAAGGATATCCTGGCTTCAAAGCCTGACTAGGTGGTACTTATACCTAGTAGGTGTATTGTTTAAGCTCCTGCTTCCTTCCTCTGCAGACTTCAAACTGAACATGTTAATTTAAACATCTTAAATCAATTAAGCGGTGGATCATGTCTGACCTTGTGTCTTCCCCGCTCAGTTTTATAGCAAGAGATACTGCGTTACTTCGCCTATACATGGTATTTTCTCCACAATTTGCTCAGATTGAGCGACGATCTTTAACCCCTCAAGCAATATTAAATGCAGTAGAGAATGAAATTCATGACGTCCCTATCTCAGTGCCTCCAGGGTCTCAAAAGAGCCTTAAAATGCTTTCTACCTCTGTTTTCAAGGTCATCAATTTGTCTTTAACATCCAAAGTCCTGGATTATGCTGACCTCTTTGTTTCCTTCTATTCGTCTCTCCGTGCTTTTTACTCTATCTCTCATTTCTTTTATCTGAGAAGTCGTGTTGGAGCTAATCCGCAGAGCTGTTATTAATGGAGAGACCTTAGATTTGGATGAACTCTAAAAGACCTTTGTCGCCTTTTCAAAAATTGCTGCAATAGCAGGATTGGCTGAACTGTAAATGGCGTATTAATAATTGTAGAGAGATGTGCTTGAGTTGTGCTGTGTTGTGGATTTGTGTCTTTTTATTCTGGTTATTATTATTGCAGTTAAATTCCTTGGGAGTACGAGGACTTGATGCACGTCTCACAAGGCCACTTGATTCTTTAAGGAAGTGATTGAATTGGATTTTTTTAAATTTTAAAATTGATCGGAAAACCGTGCCGAAAACCTGCTTTATTATTGAAGTGAATGTTTGCGTATTAAATGTGTAATTTTGCTCCTGAGAACGGGGAGAGAGAGGTAAAGGGTTTCCCACATAGCCAGATTACTTGTCGTAACGGTACGAACTGCTTGAGAGTGACCGACCCTGAGATTATGAATTTGTGTGTGGTCAGTTGGAAATCATCTTACAAACAGTATACTCGCCTACGAAACCTACGCTTTACAGTAATTCCTTTGAAGGATTGTGGCGATGTCTGGACACAACGATGAGGCATCAAATCAAATGCACTGGTTATTACTTCTGGCGTTCACTGTTAAGTTGCTGGAGTGTTTCTTTGAAACCGGTTCGCAATATCGATGTGCAAGAATTCTCTTTAAAGCGGTTTGATTTTCAATGTTCTGGTTGGAGGCAATGAGAGAATTGCAACACTAGAGGGAACTCTTGCAGTGTAGCCTTCCGACCGCTGAATATTTAGCATTTATCCAGATTATATGAAAGATAAATTTTCCTGCCCAAATACAGTATAAAAAAATTAAATGGCATTCATCTTCAATACTTCACAGTAATTTTTTTTGTATTAGGCCATTGTATTAGGCTAAAATACTACAATTTATATTAATTACAGCATTTTTTTATTCATTAAGCAAAATGTCAGGGTATTTTCTGTGTGCGGCAAACTGAGGAAAATTATTATTCCTGCTGTGATGGAACTGAGGCTAAAGTATGCTAATGGCAACAGTAAAAAGGTGGTTATTAATGCGATTAATGGGCTGAGCGATGTCATCAAATATACCTGCTGCTTGTTAGCAAGAAGATGCATTAAACTGAATTTAAGTGAGTTTCAGATGCTGAGCACATCATTAAATCAGCACAGATTAACACAACTCGTTAATCTCGCTCTGTGTACACAGCATTGATAATTATAATAGGTAACGCGCGCTTGCTGTGCCTATTAAAGGGATAATGCCCTTGTGTTGGCTTTGGCGGACTAGATTTTTAAGTTTGGTTTATAAGTGCCAAATGGTGGTATCGAATGGAAGGGTAACTGTATTGTAACTCATCGTGCCTTTGGTGAACTCTGTTCACTTCTGTTGACAATCACTTTTACTCATGGTCGCTTGGGTTGCTGAAAGGGTTCACTTTTTATATTTTATACAACATTTATAGAACATTTCATATTGCGCCCCGCGCAAATTTTGGATGTCAAACGATGCTATTTTAATGGTTAATTATTGATTATGTCAACAACAGCTGGACATGTAAAATCCAACCATTTTCGCGAAGTATTTTGGTTGATAAAGACTGCTGTGCTGATGATGTGTTGTCATTCGAGAACTTTAGTATGTGAGACGTTCCTTTGTGATTCCTTTCATCTCTCCTTGCAGCTAGGAGCAAAGTAGACTATTTTAGTCTAACTATTTTTTTTTGTTGCAGTTATCATCAAGGTCATTGTACGCTCCATGAATCAAACAAAGCAGACCTGAGGTAACAAAATGAACGGTTGAGACACAGTGTATAATAGAATTAGGATGAAACTGTATGATCGCACGAGAGGATGGAATGAAGGTCGAGTATTGTTGTGCTCTGCAAAGCATATGAGCAGTGCAGGTGATTAATTAGCAGAAAAGATTTTTTGGGGGAGGGCTTATTTTTTAAGTATCCCTCAAAGATGATCTTTTGCATTCTCCTTACTCTCTTCAGCTCTGCCTCGTGCACACGCTATTTTCCCAGCTAAAAACAGCTAAATTGTGCTAAATTATCTTTTTTTAAACTAGCCGCAAGAACCCCCAGCCTTTGATGTATTTATTGTTTCCCTCCTGATATTTTTTTTAAAAATTTGTACTCAATTGGCTTCGGTGCGGTACCCTGTGTCACGGGCGCTACATAAATGCTTGTTGTTGTTGTTGTTGAAAGGCACTATTTCCAATAGAAAAGATTATCATTAAGTATAGTAAATGAGATTGGGGATTACAAGAGTTGGCCTTCTCTGAGAGTTGGTGCAGACTCAATGGGCTGAATGGCAAGCAGCTTTACCCTGTAAAGTTCTATGAACCGTCGAGTTACCAAGTATATCCTGCCCACATCGTAGCGTGATCTTCCCCTCCTCTCCCTTTTCTACTCTCCTGTATTTGTGTTTTTGTTTGTGTATGAGTAACCTTCATGTATGTTACTGTCCGCTCAGTGCATCTGGCTGTGAAACTGCATTATAATAGAGTCCTCCGATCCAATATACAAAAATAGATTTGAATGAGCATCAAATTACTGGACGGATTTGACACGACAAATTACTAAATGTGTCGGAACCAAAGCAAACAAGTTTCTCCTCTGATTTGCAGTATTGTCGGGATAATTATATATATATTTTTAAAAAGATCGGAGATTAGGTTTCGGAGCGAACAAAATTGCCGCATTGGCTCCGGGGGCTGGGACCTGGCGAGATAAGAGTTATTAAATGTGACTGAAGGTACTATTGCAGTTCAATCTGTGTACTCTATCTCTCAGCTCAAAGTCCAGGAAAAGAAGCAAGTAGCATCTGCAGATTTGTACAGCAGTTGCATCCCAGAGCCCAGGGCAAGGTCCCTGCAATCTGCAGCTCTCCATCTTAACTCCAATTACCGCGTTTAATCTGGGGCCAACAATCAGTTAGGGTCTGAGGGGAGCCTGAGGGGAGGAGCTGTGATTGCACCGTCTGATTTGAAGGTTTACAGTACTTAATAACATAAGGAGGATAACAGAAAATTAGAGATCTGCTGCAACCCAGAGTCTCTGCTGTCCTAAGACCACTACTGTACATAAGTCTCCAACGCCGCTGAAATAGTCCCTGCAAAAGAGCATTAAACGTTGGATCCAATTTAAAATTCAATGCAGAAGTACTGCACGTGCACACACCTGTGTTTGGGATGGCTGATGTTTACAACACAAATTAATTAAGGGACATGAGCTGCAGCTGCTCCTAAGTATTTTTATTCTGCACTATTGGGGCTGACCTGCTATGAGGGAGGTAAGACTAGTGAGGTGTGCCATGCGGTGACTAATATCAAATGTAAATCGTTGGCTTTCTGTGAAACGGTACTCTCCGTATAATAATTCTTGCATCT